ACCCTTTTCTTTGGAAGTCCTCACAAACGCATATCCAGAGAGAAATTAAGTTGACTTAAAATCAGATTGTATTCAGTTCCCCAAAATTCCTTTTCCTCACACAGATGAATAGAAGTGTGAGCCAGGATCCAGCAAAGATGGGGAGAAATTCTCACGCACTACTTGCCTGAAATATTAGATGATATCTATCTCTGAAAAAAAAAAAAAAAAAAAACAACAAAGAGCTACACAGAATTTCCTAGCTATATAAAGCATCACAAAAAATAAAGCTTAGGACAACAGTCTTCAGCTGCCATCACCTCTATCCGTATTCAGGAAGAAGGGTTGGAGCCCTGCAAAAACCGGAGACCAGGACCTCTGGGAGGAATGCTGCTGCTATTCAGGATTTGAGGTCGTCCCACGCTTCTGCTGCATAGTGGGCATTGTCTTGTTGGTCCTCACAAACCTACTGAAAAGTGTCTGGGAACAAACACTGTCCAATAATGACACCAAGACTTCAAGAAGTAACACGGCATTCTCTAAGTCACTCCCAGATTGCTATTCTGCAGCTAAATGAAATGACTGGGATGTTTTAAATGCCAGAAATGACTTAAAATCTAAAGCAGATGACAGAGTGGAGACAGAGCAAAGGCCCCAAATCGTCAGCTGCTGAAAGTCCAAATAGTCACGTGCAGGTGCTACAGTGCTTCAGTGGCTAAACCTAAATGAACAATATCTATGAAAGTGCTATCGATAAAACAATATTCCTAACAGCAAACTATCATATGAAAATCAGAAGCTATGTTTTGCTTCTTTTAAAAAAGTATTTATTTATTTAGAGAGGGACCCAGCTGCTTCAGCCATCAGCACCTGCTGCCTCCCCAGATGCACAGTGTTAGGAAGGTGGTATCGGCAGCAGAGGCAGAACTCAAACCTGTCGATCCCCCTCTTCGTGGAGGAACGACACAGGACCCTGCGCTGTTCTTTCGTCTGCTCGGCCCTCCCCGGGTTTGCTGCTGGTTCTTCCCGGGTTGGCTACTGTCCCTTCCACCTCCGTGGAAGGGCGGTTCCCCCTGGCCACATTCCCCACTTCCGCAGGGGAGCGGCACACCGCCGGCCGACTCTCTCGGGGGCTGCACAGGTGTTCCCCTTAGATGTTCCCCTTAGATGTTCCTGGTGCATGCCGTCTCTCTCCTCCTTTATAGTCCTCCTCTGCCAATCCTAACTCTGCTACCCACACGCCGAGTACGCTGCTCTCCAATCAGGAGCAAGTCCTACAGTTTATTGGTTGAACTGGAGGCAGCTGTGTAAAAGCTGTTTTCTCCTCTCCCAGCACCATATTGTGGGAGAGCAGATGCATAGAATAAGTCTTAATTCCAGTAACAGTCTAGTCCGAGCTGCTCCCCACAAAACCCACGCACTCCAGTCTGGGAGGTGGCTTCTTAGTCGCTATGCCAAATACTTGTTCCTGTTCCTACACTTGACCTTAGCCAAAAGGCCGAGAAGCGAAGTTCCTGTTCCTTTCAGTGGTAAGTTTTCCAGCCCTGTTCCACAGCATTCTCAGTTGTCCTGAGAGGTCTCTGAGGAGCTTGTCAAGTGGCTCAAAGAATATTTCAAAGTACTGTGGTTTGCTCCCCAGCCCGCTCAGCTGGGGAGACAGGGAACTGTGTTATTGTTACAAGCCCAGTTATTGACAAAAGATCTCCTCTGGGACACGTGGACACTTTTATTTTTAATGGTGTCTTTTAACATTTGAAAATTATAAACTCTCTTGGCTTAATGCTACCCTCTTTCTCCTAAAACTTTTTTTTTTTTTTTTTTTTGACAGGCAGAGTGGAGAGTGAGAGAGAGAGACAGAGAGAAAGGTGCTGCGGCCGGCGCACCACACTGATCTGAAGGCAGGAGCCAGGTGCTTCTCCTGGTCTCCCATGGGGTGCAGGGCCCAAGCACTTGGGCCATCCTCCACTGCACTCCCTGGCCACAGCAGAGAGCTGGCCTGGAAGAGGGGCAACCAGGACAGAATCCGGTGCCCCGACTGGGACTAGAACCCGGTGTGCCGGCACCGCAAGGTGGAGGATTAGCCTAGTGAGCCGCGGCGCTGGCCTCTCCTAAAACTCTTTCAAATGTAATTTGAAAAATCACTTGAGATGTAAGAGGACAATATATTTTTGTGAGATATTTTTAGACCTGCTCTATCCAATATAATATTATTGGTCATATGTGGTTACCCTGCACTTGAAATCTGGCTAGTATGAACTGAGATGTACTCTAAATGTAAAAGACATACCAGCTGTCACAAACTTAGTATGAAACAATGGAAAGTAAAATATCATATCAGTAAATTTGCATGTTGACTGCATGTTTAAAGATAACTTTTGGTTATATTATTAACATTAATTTGACTTGTTTCTTTTTACCATTTATCCTGATGACTAGAGAACTTTAAATTCCCTATGTGTCTCCCATCTCTGGCTCAACACTGTCTGCTAGCAGGGCCATTCGCATTTCCTTGACTGTGATGTCCTGCAGAGGCTAAGAACACTAGTTCTTTTTTTTTTTTATTTTTTTTTGACAGAAAGAGTGGACAGTGAGAGAGAGAGACAGAGAGAAAGATCTTCCTTTGCCGTTGGTTCACCCTCCAATGGCCGCCACGGCCGGCGCGCTGCGGCCGGCGCACCGCGCTGATCCGATGGCAGGAGCCAGGAGCCAGGTGCTTTTCCTGGTCTCCCATGGGGTGCAGGGCCCAAGCACCTGGGCCATCCTCCACTGCACTCCCTGGCCACGGCGGAGGGCTGGCCTGGAAGAGGGGCAACCGGGACAGAATCCGGTGCCCCGACCGGGACTAGAACCCGGTGTGCCGGCGCCGCTAGGCGGAGGATTAGCCTAGTGAGCCACGGCGCCGGCCTAAGAACACTAGTTCTGGAGGAAAGCTATTCTGTACACAAATCCTGGCTCTGCTGGTTGCTGGACACATAACCTAGGGCAAGTTACCTGACCGCTCTAGGCCTCCGCTTCTTCATCTGAAGCAGCAGTGAGGGTTACAGCGAGGGTTCAGTGCCTAGTGCACCCACACACTCAGTGAACAGCTCCAGATTATGAGGAGAAGCAGCACCACCAGTGTAACTCCTCCTCTTGCATCCTGAGACACCCTCACCAGGATTCCATGAGCATTATCCCGTCTTGCCAACACCCACTGGGGCACCTCAACAACTTGTGGGAGATTTGAAGTAAAAGATCAGCTTGCTTTGGAGTCCGTGCATGGTTCTTCACGAATGCACTTTCCACAGACTTTCTGAGGACCCCTCATAAGCGAGAAGCATTTTCAGGCAGGAAATTAAAAACCGATCAGTCTGCAAGGGTAACCACGTGAAAAGGGCACCGGAACCACCCTACACAGAGACGGTGCAGACTCCCCCAGACAGCACCGTGAACATAGGTCGTCTACTGGAACTAACTGCCTTGAGAGGTCGCCAAAACAATTTCACTCACAAATCATGCGAGAAGGAGGATGGACAGTTTGTCTGTGATTAAAAATTCACTTTCTCCCAGATGCAGTGACTGACTTCTCTTGATCTTTAGCAATCTAACAGATGATGGAAACTCGCTGGAGAAAGAGACGACAGACAAAAACCCTCGAGCAGGACATGGGACACAGCAAGTCCTCCCCAGCATCACAGCTCACTCCACTCTCTCTCAGGGTCGGCCACCTTCTCACTTCCAAAGAAACAAATGTCCAACTGCCTTATGAAATCTCTTACCCCTAACATGTGACAAAGAACCCAACATGAATAAAATCACTTTGCAGGTCTTACTGTATAACAAGTCAGCTAGGAACCAACTTCCTGTATCATGATTAGGAGCACAAATTCTTTTCAAAAGACAAAATGTAACTAAGAGTGAAAGCTAATTACAACAATTTTTGAAGTGTGCAGTTACTCAGGCATGGAAATTTGAGTAAATCCCTAACTCTTCGGGCAGACTGGGACATATATCAATAGGATACAAGAATTCATTTTCTATACCTTTTCTATTTTCCTAAATGGTTTTGCCTTTCTTAGGATATTTATATTCACAATTTTTAACTGATAGGTAAAATTATATGTTTATTATTCAACATATCTTGAAATATACATTGTGGAATGGCTAAATCTAGCTAATTAATGGATGCATCACCTCATAGTAGAGTTTGTGCTAAAAACATTTAAAATCCCCTGGCATCTTCACTACAATACATGGTTTTTAACTACGGCTTTTAAGCTATGTTGTACAGCAGACATCTTGAACTTACTCCTCCTGGCTGAAATTCTGTACCCTCTGAGCAGCATTTGCCCAGCTGCACCTCCCACCATGACCCCAGTCCTCTCTTTGAACAGCGGGCCTGGGCAGCACGGAACTGAGGCTGTTCTCCTGCCTTCGATCTCCCTGCTCTGACATTTCAGACATCCCTCATGCCATCATGCTACACAAGATTTTACAGGAGCATTACCTACTGCAGAAAAATTGCGCGACTATGGATGCGGCTTTAATCTTTAAAACAATGTAATCAGAAATCAACCAATTTTCAAAACTTCAGAATTGCAATTTTTTTTAAAGTCCATCTGCAACTACTGCTCTGGGAAATTTGCCAGAATGACAATTTTAAAATTTTATTTTATTTACTTGAGAGAGAGAGAGAGAGAGAGCAAGTTCCAGCCTACTGGTTCGCTCCCCCACTGTGGAAGAGCCAGGAACTCAATCCCAGTCTCCCAGGCTGGTAGCAAAGACTCAGGTACTTGAACCACCACCTGCTGCCTTGCCAGGTCTGCTTTAGCGGGCAGAACCAGAACTCAAGGTTCTCTGATACAGGATGTGCGTGTCCCAATCCATGTCTTAACCACCATCCCAAATGCTCACCCTTGGCATAACAATTCTAAACTGACATGTAACGCGAAAGTCCTTGTGAAACCAGTAATGGGGTGTTTGTGCTACGCCTCTGCTACCCCCCTCTGTAGACAATGAAACCACGGTATGTAATACATTACCTTATTATCTTCCAGGTGGATCACTTCCAGAAAGTCATGATTCTCCAAGCCCTGGAGACTACTTATTTGGTTGTGGGACAGATCCAGATTCTGCAGGGCTTTCAGATCTTCTAAACCCGTGAGCTTCTCAATCTGGTTATTGCTCTACAATGGACAACATATACTTAATATTGAAAGGCCTCTTGCAGGAAAAGTTGTAATGTCAAGTTTTCATTCAGAATACTGCCCCAAATCTCTTACAATATCACTAAGGCATTCTCTCACCTTCCCTTCAACTCCATTTCCACCTCTCTCAATTCACACACACACTCACTCCAGTAAGAAATCCCAGTTTTTGAGGTGGAACACTAAAAATACAATATTTTCATCAAAGTTGAAGCAAGGTGAATACTCAAATCAGCAGGAAAGACAAAAGGCTAGTTGATATAAACTTTTACTATTTCATATCTGAAGTCTAATGGCAGCATAGCTCCATGTCTATCTTTAGAAATACAGATTAAATGAAGTTCTTTCATCACCATCACAATAAAACATTTGAATGTTGAATTTCCCAGACACACTTTGCTCTCAGAAGCATCCTAAATATAATCCCTTCTTATCCCAAGAGCGATGGTAATCTGTCACCTTGGAAGCCTTCATGTTAACTTGTGCTGTTACTTGGTTCTCTCATCTTAAATCTAGCCTGGACCTCCAACCTGACTTACCCAAAAGAATATGGCAGGGGTGGGCATTGTGCCCACCAGTTGGTATGCCCACATTCCATACTGGAGTATCAGTTTGAGCCCTGGCTGCTACGTTTCCAGTCCAGTTTCCTGCTAATGCATTCTGGGAGCAAGTGGATGGTGGGCTGAGTGCTTGGGGTCCTTGCCACCCAACAGCAGAGACCCAGATGGAGTTCCTGGCTCCTGGTTTCAACCTGGCCCAGCCTAGGTGCTGCAAGCATTTGCAGGGTGAACCAACAGAAGGAAGACTGATCCATCTTTCTCTCTCTTTGCCCTGCCCTTCAATTAGACAAAAGTAAACATGTCTTTGTTTGTTTGCTTGTTTTTAAGTTCTGGTTCCTCTACATCCTCATCTACCAGTACCAAGTTCAAAATGTAGAAAAGCCTGGCAGCTTAAGTTTTTAGGAGTGCTGAGCTACCATTTAAGATACTGTATTCCAGCTACTCTGTAGAGAGAACGTGTAGAAAGTCTTCATGGAGATGAAGTCGCATGGACAGAGGCCTTGAGACTAAGTAGACAGAAAAATACAGCCACCCGGCACCTCAACTAAGCCAACCCCAATATCCTAGCTGAATGCAGTGCCCGGAAGAACCAACCAGCTGAACGCAGCTCAGACTATAGAAGTATTAGCTGGTACATGGTTATTTCTCCAAGTCATCGCAACTGAGGTGGCTTCTTATGCAACAATAAAAAATCAAACTAAGTTCTTAAACAATCCATACATAAGCATCTTCTCAGACAAGAACAAAACAAAGATTCAAGACTAAAACACTGTCCTTTTTCCCAACTTCCATGTACTAGTAACAACAAATGAGAGTGAAAACAATAATTTGTTCTTTCCTGGTATTTTCTAACATACTCATTATTTCTTGGGTTTTTTAGCTTTGAAGTATAAGAAAATGCCATAGTAAAACTAAATGTTTAGTTTGAGAATCAAAATAAATAGTAATTTTGAGATTTTTGTTCAATGGTGTAATGCTATGGCTCTTTAAAATACTCATTTAGAATACTCCAATGGCATATGAGGGTTTATTACACTATTCTTTTTGTTTGAAAAATAAATTTGAAAAATTCCATAACAGACAGAAAAAAATTCTCATAACATTATTGCTAAAGTTTCCTTCTATTTATACCTCAAAAAAGTTGAAAGTGTAATAAAAAGGAAAAGAAAAAACTATGCTAAACTTACATCATATTAATTTAATGTATTGAAATAAAAACTCAATATCTTATTCAAAATATGCCCACATGTTAAATGTATGTATGGTGCACTTCTTCCAAGAGAACTTTGGAGTGCTTTAGATGTGGTAGATAGACTGCAATTCTTTACAGTATCTCTGGTGGCTTTCGAAGTTGGAGAAGACAGGAGTGGAGTGAGCCATAGAAAAGTTGAATTAGATAGCCTGTGGTCATGAAGAATCCAAAACTGAGAAAACTTCACTCACAGAAACTCTGAACTGAAAGTGAGCCAGCTCAAGCCTTTATCCAATGTTGAAAACTGACCCATCACTCCTGAAAGTAGCTATCTAGTTTCTGTAGAAATAGTTCCTACTGCTTGTTTTATAATAATTAGCACAGAAGAAACTTTTGGAAAGAAGCTATTTTCTTAAATAAGTGGAATTAGAAACATGGTCAAAGTACCAGTTTGAGAGGGAAAAAACACGCATCCTTAACTAAGTAGAAATGAATTTGTAACTGTCATTGCCTGCTAAGAAGCTGAGTGACAGAACAGCCTACCAGCAAACCACGTTTCCCTCTTAGATTTATCACAAAAGTTGCCATTTGACAATTAAAAATCATTTAAGTTTGGTGAATTGTTCTTCTTTCTCTAAATTGTAAAGTTAACTACTGTCAATAGAAATTTAAAAAACCCAGTTTTATGATTCATGAGTTTAAAATATAAGCACTGAAAACTGTTGAAACAAGTGCATAGCATTTAATTTTATAGATTTAATTAAAATGTGGGAAAGAAAACCTTCCTATTCTCAAAAATTTTAAGGAAAATGAGTGACAGCATATTCTCTATTTTTCTAATTTATCTTGGATGCTAGGAATGGAGATTGGAAACAATGTCCCTATTTGTAGAAAAAAAAAATATTGTGAGCTTTTCCCAAAAGCTACTTGAGACAGAATGAAACAAACTCTTAGGGTGAAGGTGCTCTTACTTATGAGTTCAATTCTCACCGCCTATCTCTTTCCACATCTCTTTCCATTCAACACGCTCCACTTAAAATGAATGGAGACATCAACACAGAACAGATACATGAAGAAAAGGATAAGGTCCTAACAAACAACAAACTAAATAGGACATACTTCCAATAATCCTTCAGAACACCATACTTCTAAAATGTGACTTTCCATTTTGAAATTTTCAACACAATTTATCAAATTCATTTTAATTTATGCTTTACTAACATACCTTAGCGGGTAGAAAATCTTAAACCTCAAGTGAATTATTAAACCTTTGCATTCTTTAAAAAAAAAAAAGATTTACTTATTTATTTATTTGAAAGGCATAGTCACAGAGGGAGAGAGAGAGAGAGAGAGAGAGAGATCTTCCACCTGCTGTTTCACTCCCCAAATGGCCGCAACAGCCGGGGCTGGGCCAGGCCAAAGGCAAGAGCCAAGAGCTTCCTCCTGGTCTTCCACATGCTATTCTAGTCTTTTTATATTTAAAAAAAATTTATATTTTTTAAAAAATTGTAGGGGCTGGTACTGTGGCAGAGTAGGCTAAGCTTCTATCTGCAGCACCACCATCCAACATGGGCACCAGCTCAAGTCTCAGGCTGCTCTTCTAATTCGGCTCTCTGTTGATGGCCTGGGAAAGCAGTAGCAGATGGCCCAAGTGCTTGGGCTCCTGTACCCACGTGGAAGACCTGGAAGAAGCACGTGGCTCCTGGCTTTGGATCAGCACAGCTCCAGCCATTGCAGCTATTTTAGAGTGATTCAGGGGATGAAAGATCTCTCTCTCTCTCTGCCTCTGCCTCTCTCTAATTCTGCCTTTTAAATCAATTAATTAAAAAAAAACAGATTTAATCAAGAAAGATAATCAAATTAAGGTAATATGGAGAATTACAAAATTTTTTTTAAAAAATTTGGCATACAGAGATTATTTTTATCTATGGGGTAATATGCAATGTTTCATTACTTGTGTACATTATATAATATTCAATCAGGGTAAATATATTTATCCTTTCAAGCATTTAAAATTTCTATATAATGAAACCATCCAAAATTGTACCTTCTAGGTTTTCTTAAATAGAAAAATACACAATACTTTATCTATATCTCTGCACTATTCAATAGAACATCTCATTTTACTTTAGTATGAAATATTGGTATCATACACATTCATGCTAGAAAACTGAAGACGGTAACAACTTGTAAAAGAATTAGCTCCTTACATATTTTAAAAAGCCTCGTCACAAGTGATATTAAAACATGGCTACTCTACAAAGAGCAGCGCTTTGTTAGACTCACCAGACACAGTATTTTGATGGGTAATGTGGCTAAGCCATTAATTTCTGTGATCTTGTTGTTGGCCAAACTAAGGTGTGTTAGACTGCAGCACATCTCTAGTCCACCGATCTCTTCTATTGCATTGTCTGTATATCACGGCTATGTTTAAGGAAAATGTTAGTAAGAGCATTTTGAAGAAAATCAGGTACCAATGTCAAATCACCATAGAAAAATCAGACAATAGCTTAAAGAAGTAGTATATGCCCAATATAGGATGAACACACTAAATCTTGAATTATTTTTCATATTAAAATTATAGTCTATATGAAATTAATTGTTCTATAAAAAAAGGCATGGTTTTTGAGTGTGCTCGGTTGCATCTCTGACATGGTGGCTGGAGCTGCCTCCTTGCAGTGTGTTCTTTGCTTCAAGAACAGCTCAGCCGCCTGCTCTCAGGCAGGCCTTCTGGTATCAGACCTGCCCTGCAGGGCAGCCTGCAGTATGCTGTCATCCTCACGGCGAGGGTATCAGCCACGGGACATGTCAATTGTAGCAAATGGGTCCACCAGAGACAAACACCCTGCTGTAGACAGCAACGACCCTTACTACCTATCTTCATTGGCTTCTTTTCTCCCAACATGAGGCTTATACTCTGCCACAATTTCCTTAAATGTCTGTTAAGTCCCCATTCCTTGGGGCTGGCGCTGTGGTGCAGCAGGTTAAAGCCCAGGCCAGCACCGCCAGCATCCCATATGGGCTCTGGTTCAAGTCCTGGCTGCTCAACTTCCAATCCAGCTCCCTGCCAATGTGCTTGGGAAAGCAGTGGAAGATGGCCCAAGTCCTTGGGCCCCTGCATCCTGTAGGAGTCCTGGAAGAAGCTCCTGGCTCTTGGCTTTGGATAAGATAACTCTAGCTGTTGTAGCCAGCTGGGGAGTGAACCAGCAGATAGACCTCTCTCTTTCTCTACCTCTCTGTAACTCTTTCAAATAAATAAATCTTTAAAAAAATGCAAAAAAGAAAGAAAAAAGGTTTCCATCTGTGTTCCACCCAGTCACCTAAAACTGCTATTTCAAAGACATTGAATCCATTCAACTCTGTCCTTAGTCTCTTGGGCTGGGTTCTAGGATCTAATGCCACTTCCCTAAAGAAGCTGTTTTCCTTCTCAAAAAAGCCTATAATATAACCATTCCTCAGCCACGCATAATGCGGAGTGCATCCGTATCACAAAGACATATGTTTGCCCCACTGTTATTTGTAATGATTGCACCTCTACTTCTTACTAGCTGGGTGTGATTTAACTTTTCTCTGCTCAGATTTTTCATTAGTGAAGTAGGGATAACACCAAGCTGATATTAAGGTAAAAAGCTGAATCTGGGGCTAGCGCTGCAGTGCAGCGGGTTAAGCTAAGGCCTGAGATGCCAGCATCCCATATTGGAGCAGCGGTTTGGGTTCCCGCCGCCTCACCTCAGATCTGGCTCCCTGCTGATGCACCCCGGAAAGCAGCAGAAGATGGCCCAAGTACTTTGGCTGCTGCCACCAATGTAGGACACGTGGGTGACGCCTTAGCCACTGCAGTCATTTGGCGAGTGAACCAGTGGATAGAAGATATCTTTCTTTGTGTGTGTGTCTATTTCTGTCACTCTGCCTTTCAAATAATTTTTTTAAGTTCAATTATGAGGAAAAATAGAAAATGAGTGCCACTGAGTTATAGAAACCGTAGATTTCTGAACACTTGTAAGGCATCGACATCGTATTACTGAATTATAACCACATGAGGCATGGAACCATCTCCTCTACCACTTGGCCAACTGCAAAGAAATGGATGATTCAAAACAGGAACTGAATCTGGACAGACCTAAGCAGAGAAACAGGTAAATAAGGCTCTAGAGCAGAACACATTGCTGAATGTACCAGAAATTCCTGGGTTGTCCTCACTGGTTTCAGATTCGATCCTCGGGCTGAAGCATGGCTCTGCTTGTGGCCAGTAAGCGTTCTCAGATCTACTTCTATAAGCTCCTTCTGGAACAGCCTAACAGACAGACATTTCGGCTCACGGTCACTGTCCTTTCATTCTCGTTTTTTGGGGCTGTTTAAATAATTCTGGAACTAAAACAAAGGCTCTGTCTTTGGAGATCAGGGTGGCAGCAGATGAGAAATGTGAAATACAGGAAATAGGATACTAAACTACCTCCCCTAACTGTAAATGAAATAAGATACCTGTGGAACAGGCAATCACTGGCAACAACCAGGCTAGGAGAAGTGCAAGTGGCCGCCCATCTCATTTAGCAGAGAGAGCAACAGTGTCTAAGTCTCTTCTCAGGAGCCTGGTCCCGGCAGCTCTCCAACCACGGTGCAGTGCTCTGCGTCACCACAGCGTGAACTGGAGGCTGTGGGTGGCTGGGCCAGAATGCTTTTCCCATGCTAAGCAGGCTAAGATGGAAAACTAGAAAGGAGGAATCCTAAACCTTTCCAGAGGTATCAGGAAGGGAAAGGGAAAGCTCACTTATTTTTTCCACGTTCATTTCCCAAAAACACAAAAGGCTAACCGAAGTACATTCAGCCTGTTCTCTGGGCTTGACTACCACACGTGCTTTGAAATCGACATTGCAACAACAGAAAGGAGAACACAGAGGCCTCACTGCGATGCTAGCCGTCATGGCACTGGCACACAGGTTACGGAACTGGCATAATCTCAGCTGAGGAATGTGCACTCTCAGAAAAATCACCTCCTATTTCTCAAAGCTTTGCTTCCTTTTACATCTCAAGCAACTTCAGACACTATACACTAATCAGGCTTCTGAGTGGAGAATACTTCTAAGAGAGGCACAGTAGCTGTGTCCTCTAACATCACGTGTGACTACCAGCAATGGCAACGGTCAACACATGGGACTCTGGGCGGGAACTGTGGAGTAGCAGGTTAAGCCGCTGGCTGCAACGCTGACATCCCACACAGCTGCCAGTTCATGACCTGGCTGCTCTACTTCCAATCCATCTCCCTGCTAATGTCCCTGGGCCCCAGTATCCATGTGGGAGACCCAGATGAAGCTTTTGGCTCCTAGCTTTGGCGCTAGCTGATGCGGCCATTTGGGGAGTGATGAAAGATCTCTCTCTGTTGCTTCTTCTCTCTCTGTAACTCTTTCAAATAAAATAAATAAATCTTTAAAAAAATATATGCAGGACTGGGCCATACAGAGCTCTGAGTTTCCCGTTAGCTTTCAAGAACACCTTAATCTCCCCCATCTCCCATTTTCTTATTTTAAGAACTTTCATCAAATGGTACTTGCCCTTTCTCCTAAATTATTCTTTCATGTTCTTTCACAGGTCTTGGAACTTTCTGATAAGAAGAACTATAATCTGATAAGTCACCAAGCTATTATAATGAATTCATTTACTGGGTTAATCCTCTTAGGTATATTTTAATTTTAAAAGACCACTATCAAGAAAAAGAGACTCAAAGAATCAAAACCATCATATTGCATTCCAGCTCTGAAGTTTCACCATTATGGGACTAAGTCTTTTACAGTGGAATTGTAGGTCCTTGTGGAAACTGACTGAAGGAAAGCTGTGGCACTTAAGTGTAACTTTACAACTAGGGAAAAAGCCCAACAATGTGGTTTTGCATTTTGGCGCTGCTGTTAGTGGTTCACAATACTTGACATGAATTATTCACTAGTTCAGTATTCACTCATTCATTTTCTACAATCATAAAATACGGTTTGGGTACATAGAAAACAGTAACTGAGAAAACAGTAACTGAGAAAAAAGTGGGATATTCATCACAGTTCTTGTAGTGGAGAGAGCCACATGATGGCTTCAATCAAAACCAATCCTAAAAGATCTATATCACCTAACCACTGAAAAATGTTCTTCACTATAGGAGTGAATCTAAGAAATAAAATCAGGAGGTTAGCACTGTGGCACAGTAGACTAAGCCTCTGCCTGCAGCACTGGCATCCTGTATGGGCACCAGTTCGTGTCCCGGCTGCTCCTCTTCCGATCCAGCTCTCTGCTTATGGCCTGGGAAAGCAGTGGAAGATGGCCCAAGTGCTTAGGCCCCCGCACCCATGTGGGAGACCCAGAAGAAGCTCCTAGCTCCTGGCTTCTGGCTTTGGATTGGCCCAGCTAATAGTTAATAATTTGTTCTGAAGTAGTAATATAAACTATTACAATCACATTGTCATTATTACTAGCTTGGTTAACTGATTTGTCCTTATCTGAAATAATTGTTTTGAAATAAATTGATTCAGAATTTTCAGGTTACTTAATTTTCACGTAAAACTGGGTTAAGCTTAATACATGATTCATCATCGGCCCATGCACAGCTTGCTTTTGTTTATTTTTAAAAATACAATAAATGAGAGTATCTGGGTTCAATTTCTGGCTACAGCCCAGCTGCGGCTTCCCACCAGTGCAGCCCTGAGGGGCAGCAGTGATGGCTCCAGGAGTCGGGTTCCGTCCACCCATGTGGCAGACTTGGACAGCAGTCCCAGCTCCTGGCTTTAGCTCAGCCTTGCAAGCATCTGGGGAGTGAGTCAGCAGAAAGGAGCCCCCCCCGCCCCGCCCGTGCCTCTCAGATAAATAAATAAGTAAACAACGGATTTCCTTGAGACTATCCCCCAACTTCAGCTCAAGAAAAAGACCATTGGCAACAATTTAAATCTATCTGCATACTTCTGCTGAGTTCTTAAAAAAAAGTTTTATTATTTTGAAAGGGAGAGAGAGAGAGAGAGAGAAACGCTTTTCTATCCAATGGGTTACTCTCCAAATGAGGCCAGGAGCCAGGACTCTGTGTGAGTCTCCTACGTGGGTAGCCAGGGCCCAGGTACTTGGCCCATCTTCCATGGCTTTCCAGGAAGCTGGAGCGGAAGTGGAACAGCTGGTACTGGAACCAGCACTCACATGGGATGTAGGCGACAAAGGTGCTACAACTCCTACTGAATTCTTAACATCTGCCTCTCAGGAGATAATCCTTATACTGAATTGTCTGTTTTCTCTTCCCTTCCTGTTTTAGTTTATATCTAAATTACATTTATTTTTTACTAAGATTTGTCCTTATTGCTTCATGAAGGTGTATTTCATTCACTTTCACTAAGTATGATACGTTATTCTGTGAGTATTCCATAATTTGTTTATGCTTTCTGTTTAAATAAGCATTTGGGCTGTTTCAGCTTTTTGCTATTACAAGCAACACCACTGTGTACACTGCTATATAAGCCTCCCAAATACATATATACCAGACTTTCCATGTGTAGGAGTTAAAGTACTGGGTCATAGTGAATTAGGGTGTTCAACTTTAAAAGACAATATGAAATTGTTTTCCAAAGTCACTGAACTAATTTTATGGCCATGAACCAAGTTAAAAAAAAAAAAAACTACTTGATGCACACATGTTCCCCAACACTTGGTGTTTTGAGGTTTCTTCAACTTAGTCAATTGAATACATGATACAGTATCTCATGTGGCCTCGAGTTGCATTTCTCTGCACAGAAATGAGGCTGACATCTCTTCACACATCTGTTTGTTGGCCTTTTCCGCTTTATTTCTGTAATTTTTAAAAACATCTTTGCCCATCTTCTTGCCCAGGGGTATGGGATATATTTCTCTTCAGTTAGAACTTCAATATCCCTCAGTAAAGTAAGATGTTTCCCATACAGATGTTACACATTTTTAGTAAGATTCATATCCGTTGCTTTTGTAAGTAGTGTCTCCTTTTAAAATTATGTTTCCTATTTGTTGAACTTTTAGATATAGCAATTTATTGCAAGTTCTTTTATATATTCTGCTGCTAAATTTGTCATTTGCAAGGAATGACTTTTATTTTCTCCTTACCAATATTCCATCTGCAATTCCTTTCTCTTGTCGTACGGTGCTCCCAGATCTCCAAAGCAATGATGGGTAGATATGGTTAATGGTGGACATCCTCGCCTCTTATCTAGTTTTAAAGGAGAATGCTTACACTATATCCTCAATGGGGATAAAATTTGTCTCAGATGTTTGTAGAGATTATTCCTCAAGCAGAGAAAATTCCCTGTTGCTGGTTTCCGGGGAACCTTGTTGTGAACGAGTGCTGGTCTTCATGGCATTTTCTGTCTCTGCTGAGTGTCCAGATCTAAGGATCATAGGGTGTCCTTGTCTTCATCTGATAATGCAGGTGGTGACATGTATAGATTCTCTAATATTTAACTGACCTCACATATTTGAGATAAACCCAACTTGGTCCCAGAATATATTCTTTTAATGCACTGCCAGGTTCAGTTGCTCATATCTCGTTAAGGATTCTTACATCAATATCATGAGTGAAATGAGCCTGTCATTTTCCTTTCTCCTACTGTTCATTACTGTTCATTGTCTGGTTTACATATCAAAGTAAACTCATTAGAATGAACCATGAACATGCCTTCTATGTTTAACGCTTGAAAGGATTTGTTCATTATTGGAAGCTCCGTTCTTGAACGTCTGGGTCTGTTGGGGTTTTTGTAGAAAGATTGTTAATTAATTAATTTAGTTCACTGCTCATTTGCAACAAGTTGCTTTCACAGTTACACGACTACTCAGGGCAGCAAAACCTTTTTCTAGTAATATCATCCGTTGTATCTAAGACTTCAAATATACTGGCATGAAAGTCGTTCAGAAATTCTCTTATCTTTTTAATCTCAAAGTTCTCTAGTCTTTTGAGAAGCCATCTAATCCAGCGATTTCCCCAGAGATTAATTTATAACTTTGCCAGATATGTTTTTGTTCTCAGCTGTCCAGACCCAGCCAAGTGCAGTAAGCACCATGCAATGCACGTGAACAGGAGAAGAGAGAAGGAGAGCATCCGGTACTGTTGAGAAACGAGCCTACTAGCTCTGGGAAACTGCGTTAGTAATGGTGCCATGTTGCACTCTAATTACGCGTCCGTCTTCTGAATTTCAATTTGTTCTGAGTAATAATTACCACTGCTTACATTTCAATGATAAGACTCAATTGCTACATCTAATGTCAAGCTTAAAAAAAAAAATAATTCCTTTCTTCACAATGCATGACATTCATAAAGGTAAAATTAGTTTTTTTACATGGAAAGCTAAACTTACAGGGAAATTAAGTTTCTCATGATAAAAATGTTTTAAACTATATCCTCCAGTTAGAGTCCAAATGCTGTGGGGTCTAGCGGGCAGTTCCATGCTGCACATGCAATGTTTCTCTGGGACAGAGCTTCCTACGTCAATCGCACCACTGCTGTGCGACACCCGCAGTTCAGGGTACCCTGTGCCACTGCAAGGCCTCCTGGATGCCTAATCCCCTCTGGCTGCCAGGAGATTCGGGTCAGCTGACTTCAAGACCAGGTTTCTCAAGCTTTAGTGTGCCTCCAGTGGCCTGGGGGTCTTATTAAACGCAGATTCTGATTTCCAGGGTCTCGCTGGAGCCCAGGGCTGCATTTCTAAGAAGTTACAGGCGCCCCTGCTGCTGCTCTTCCTCAAACAGCATGACCTCTTCCACGTGACCAGGAACGAGCAGCTTTCTGAGCCAGACGGCTTCCGGGCTACCAGACTCTGTCTGCAAATTCAGTGCACGAGACGGCCAAACGCGAAATCCACGCTCCATGCAGAGATGCTGTTCTCCTCCGGGTTGTCATCAAAACTTCCATCACTTTCCGATTTCTCCAATGAGCTGCAGCCAGGAGAAACTGTCCACTTCGAGGGCACCATCTAAATGTCCACTTAGCACTTGTTTTCACACACAAGTTCAAATGGCATGGTACTATGCTCTAAGCTTCCCATCACATATGAATAAAGGATTTTTCTATAAAATATGCCCTTAATAAACTCTGTAAAATGTCCCCCATTCTCCCCACATTCCCGCCGTATGATAAACACACTATGAACCAGCTATAGCCACATCCAGGGACAATCAATTCATGCCTCTTTATGCCCTGAAAAATCTTCAGGTGGGCGGAAGGGTACCTGCTGAGAAGGCTTGCTCCCTCATCACCCAGAGAACAGCCGTCTCTGGCTCATTCAAATCCACAGGACCTCAGTTAACCCCATGGTCACACAGACACTGAAGCTGACTTTGAAGGAGATGATGCATTGTTTGCCTGGGAGCCAAAACGCCCTGAAGCTGGGCGCAAGTGAGAAGTCCTTTTTTTTTTTTTTTTTTTTGAAAGCAATAGAATAATCACTGATTTTTCTTATGACCACATCTGGATTTTCAAATACTGATTTTATATAAAATAGAGCCAAGTCTAAATAAATTTAAAGACAGGAGTTAATTAAAACAGAACGACTTCTCTGTTCTAGAATTAAGAACAAGCTTTCAGGGGTGGATGTTTGGCCTAGCAGTTAAGAAGTCCGCTGGGACACCCACTGCCTATATCAGAGTACCTGGGTTAGAATCCAAGTTCCAGGGCCAGCGGCGCTGTGGCATAGTGGGTAAAGCTGCCGCCTGCAGTGCTGGCATCTTATATGGACACCAGTTCAAGTCCTGGCCGCTCCACTTCTGATCCAGCTCTCTGCTATGGCCTGGGAACGCAGTACAAGATGGCCCAAGCCCTTGGGCCCCTGCACCCGTGTGGGAGACCCAGAGGAAGCTCCTGGCTCCTGGCTTCAGCTGGGTTCAGCTCTGGCTGTTGCAGCCAACTGGGGAGTGAACTAGTGGATGGAAGACCTCTCTCTCTCTCTCTCTGCCTCTCCTTCTCTCTCTGTGTAACTCTTGACTTTCAAATAAATAAATAAATCAAAAAACACAAAAAGAATCCCAGCTGCACTCGTAATTCCAGCTTCCTGCCAACTCCAACTCTGGGAGCAGCAGGTGAAAGCTCAAACAGCTGGGTTCCTGTCACCTGTATGTGAGTCTCAGAGGGAGCTCCCGCTTCCTGCTTCAACCTGGGCATTGTAGCCATCCGGTGTGAACCACAGAATGGCAGGTCTCTTGTTGTCTGTCTCTGCTTCTCTAATAAAAATAAGAAGAAAAAAAAGAAGCCCTCATTTATTGCAAGAATTACCACCTCACTTTGCTCGTCAGCAGTAAGATGCCTTTGGCAAGCTTCAATTTGCAGTTTTGCTCTTGGTAAATAAAACATCTTCTCATTTTGAGAAAGTCCATTCTTAACCATGTAAATGAGCCACATTTTTCTAGTAAATGGCATATATCATACTATTTCATCTAATCTGGTACACTGTCTTCAATGGATCTATAAGTATTAACCAAATTTTCCCCGTTACTCATTCAAAGGATACTGTCCAAAATTAGTTTTGTGAGGGCATGGTATGCTGATAAGTCGCACATTTCAGAAATCTGGTTGGAGGAAAAATCCACCTTCTGGTGAGAGAAAGGGAACAGTATGTCACGCTTTACTTTTCATTCATATTCACCACAGTAAGCAATCGCACATGAGAGAAGCCTTCCTGGACACCGAGTTAGAGTTAGAAGTCATCACGGAAAGAACGCTAGGGTTAGCACAGTCACCTCTTCTATTCATTTTCTAACTGTGATCCTCATCTGTCCATGTTGAGGGCTACTGAGGAGAGCCCCTGCTATGGCCCACAGCCGAAGGGCTTTATATCCCCAAAGCTACTCGCTCCACTTTCAGCACTTAGTTAGTTGTGTTTAGTTTTCTGTCAAGATGTACCCCAATTTCACCCCAACTTACCACCATTCCCTTCATTTTCTCTAATGCCCAATAAGCTGTGTTCGCTTAGTTTATATGCATACCTGGTTTCCCACTTCTTCATCTCTTGTGTTTCTGTCTCAGTATATTCTCCCTTCACATCCCCTAAATGCAAGAATAGTCTTTCCTATTCAGCCTTCAGGCCATCCCTCTTCAACTTTATATTGTTTCCCAAAACGGACTATTTTAGGAAAACATTTTCAACAACATCTGTTGTTCCTCATCAACACCATGAGACTAAAAACAACATTAAATAACTTTCATTATTCACCTACCGGCAAAAGATAAACGTTATTAAAATAAAAGAAAAAAGGAAAGCAATGGGCAGATGTTGTGGTGTAGTGCACAGGGTTAATTCTCCACCTGAAACACCCATATCCCACAATGAAGTGCTAATCTGAGTTCCTGCTACTCTACTCCCAACACAGGTCCCTGCTAATGTGCTTGTAAGCGTGGATGATGGCCCAAGTACTTGAGTCCGTGCCACCTACAAGGGAGACCTGGACAGAGTTCCTGGCCCTTGGCTCAGTCCAGCCCAGTCCCAGTTGTTGCGGCCGTTTGGGGAGTGAACCAATGGATGGAAAAGCGCTCACTCTTTCTTGCCCTTGTTCTTGCTCTGAGTGTGTCACTCTAGCTTTCAAAAAAATAAAGGGCTAAGCTTGTGATTATAAAGAAAATTAAAAGTATGTCATTGTAAAAATTAAAAGAAAAATAAGGGGCCGGCGCTGTGGCAGAGTGGGCTAAGCTTCCATTTGTAGTGCCAGCACCCCATATGGGTGTTGGTTCATATCCCGGCTGCTCCTCTTCTGATCCAGCTTTCTGCTACGGCCTGGGAAAGCGGTGGGAAGACGGCCCAAGTGCTTGGGCCCCTGCACCCTTGTGAGAGACCCAGAAGGAGCTTCTGGCTCCTGGCTTCAGACTGGCCCATCTCTGGATGCTGCAGCCATTTGGGGAATGAACCAGCAGATGGAAGACCTTTGTCTCTGCCTCTCAGTCTGTTACTCTACCTCTCGAATAAATAAGTAAAATTTAAAAATCTTAAAAAAAAAAGAAAAATAAGAAAAGAAGGAGGGAGGGAGAGAAGTAGCATTATGCTTTTAAAACTGTATACATAAAATACATGAAATTTGCTGCCTTTTATGAGTAAAAAATTAAAAATTAAAAAATATTTAAAAAGCATGAAAACTCAAGTTTTTGCAATGCTTCACTGATAATTTGCTGGGCACACTAATCACTTTCTGGAAGACTACCAGTTACAATAAACACGGTTCTTATCTTCACATGGCCTTTCAACCCGTGGTTCCACCCACACTCACCCCTCAGTTACCAAGGGTACTATAGCATGTGTTAATATCAAACACTTTAAATACTAAAAATTTTAAATGCTAAAAAAAGAGAAAAATTTAAAAACAACAAGTAGCAAGAGTAGAAAACTGGTTAAGCTGGGCCAGCACTGTGGTGCAGCAGGTTAAGTGGCCACCTGTGACGCTGGCACCCCATATGGGCAACAGTTCAAGTCCCAGCTGCTCTTCTCCCAATCCAGCTTCTTGCTAATGTGCTTGGGAAAGCAGCAGAATATGCCCAAGTGCTTGGGCCCCTGCACCCACGTGGGAGACCTGGATGAAGCTCCCGGCTCCTGGCTTCAGCCCTGCCCAATTCTGGCAAGCCCTGGCCGTTAGTGGCCATTATTGGAGTGAAGGAGTGAGTGGATAGAAGATCTCTCTCTCTCTCTCTCTCTGGCTCTCCCTCCCTCTGGCTCTCTCTCTCTGAAACTCTCCCTTTCAAATATCTAAATAAATCTTTATTAAGAAAGAGAGAGAGAGAGAGAGAGAGAGAGAGAAGGAGAGACAGACCAGCGTTGTGGCATAGAGGGTTAAGCCATGGGATACTGGTTTGAGTCTCAGCTGCTCCATTTCCAATCCAGCTCCCTGCTAATGTGCTTGAGCCCTACATCCACATGTGAGACTTGAAAGAGGCTCCTGGAGCCTGGCTTCAGCCTGACCCAACCCTGGCTGTTGCAGCCATCTGGGGAGTGAACCAACAAGTGGAAAATCTCTCTCTTTTGCTCTTCTCTCTCTGTCTCTCCCTCTCTGTGTAACTCTGACTTTCAAATAAATCAATAAATATTTAAAAAAGAGAGAGAGAGAAAACTGGGTAAGTCAATTACAACATAGCAACAGGACTACATTCATTGCAAATCATGTGAAGAAGCAGAAATGTGCAAATGAAAGTCTTAGGCAGGGGCCGGTGCTGTGGCACAGTAGGTTACTCCTCCACCTGTGGCACTGGCATCCATATGGGTGCCGGTTCTAGTCCTGTCTGCTCCACTTCCAGTCCAGCTCTCTGCTGTGGCCCAGGAAGGCAGTGGAAGATGGCCCAAGTCCTTGGGCCTCTGCACCCACATGGGAAACCAGGAAGAAGCTCTTGGCTCCTGGCTTCAGATTGGCGCAGCTCCAGCCATTGCAGCCATCTGGGGAGTGAACCAACAGAAGGAAGACCTTTCTGTCTCTCCCTCTCAGTGTCTGTAACTCTACCTCTCAAATAAATAAATAAAATCTTAAAAAAAAGAAAGTCTTAGTTAAAGATCAGAACATGAAATTTATACACGTAAGAGGACACCTGACAGCCATGTAAAATTCATACTACAAAATAAGTCAGTTTGGCATGATGTGTATTAAGTTTAACATTTACTCTTTTATTCCACATAATGATAGAGTAGAAGTGAACTTATTACTATATGGGCTTACTTATCAATACTTTTCCATCAACACCTTTCATGCTTGTGCTATAGCACAATATAGAGGTACTTCAAAATGTCTGTGAAAAATGGAAATAAGTTTATTTCAGTGCAAAAAATTTTGAAATCCTTACATACTTTTTGTCATCATATGCATTTTCCATGACATTTTTGAAGACCCCTTGTATGCAGAGATTTCAAAATATTTTATATTGAAATAAATCTATCTTTTAATTCCATTTCCCACAGACCCTTTGAAGTTCCCTTGCATTGATCCAATTACACCTCTCTCTGGGCAATATGTCAATACAGGCTGAGTATCCTTAACCCAAAAATGCAAAATCTGAAACTTTCTGAGCACCAACATGCTACCGTAAGCAGAAAATTCCACCTTGGAAAACTTCATGCACAAAATTAGTTACAAATACTCCATAAAGTTACCCTCAGCCTAAGTGTACAGGATATACATTAAACGTAAATGAATTTCTTGCTTAGACTTGGGTCCCATCTCCAAGATATCATTTATATGCAAATATTTCAAAATCCTAAAAAAATTCAAAATGCAAAATACTTCAGCCAAAGCAATTTGGGTAAGGGATATTCAACCTGTCCCACACCTTCTAAGTATCTATGCTACTAGGTTGGCTGAGAGTCCTCAAAGGGGTTATTATATTACTCTGACTCCCACTGGAATCCGGAGCTTATGGGAAACGTCCATTAAATAAAATTAACATTTTTTTCACCTCGCTAAGAGCAAAAACATACTAAGAAATAAAAAAAAGTGCCCGTAAGCCCTTGCTCCTCAGGAAATGCAATGGGTGCCACGAGCCTCACAGATTCGGAAAGCACAGGAGGTCGAGCCTCTCAGGAGTGCGAGACGCAGCACACAAGTCTGACTTCCTGGGAAGACATGGCCTTGGGCTCGCAAAGGTTGGGTTCAGTCCTAGCTCTCTTACCTCCTAGCAGGTTAAGCAACTTGTCTGTACCTCAAGGTCCTCTTTGGTAAAACAGAACTGCCCCCACGGCTTCACTGGGAGGATTAGACAATGCACTGGCACCCCCTGGAAGTTGCCGGAAATCAGTCTCAGGCGCCACGCTCTACCTGCCAAGCCAGGAACCCATGGTCACAAGGACCACGGGCGGTTTGGGTGCACATGAACAGGGCAGATCCACCACTCTGGCACAGCGATCTGCTTCACAGACCAACGTCCACAGACAGTTCTTTCCGCTTTGGAAAGGCAAAACTAGGTGCAGGGAAGCCAGAGTGGAGACTTGAAAACATTGTCTTCTAAAAGAAGGAAGAAAGGTCAAATAAGTGGAAGTAAGTGGGCAAAGTTTGAGCTCCTAAGAAATATTTAAAGATTTGTCGCATAAAATTTTTCATGGGGCCGGCATTGCGGTGTAGCGGGTTAAGCAGCCACTTGCATTATGTGGTTTGAGTCCCAGATGCTCCACTTCCAATCCAGCTCCCTACTATGGTGCCTGGGAAAGCAGTGGAACATGGCCCAAGTGTTTGGGCCTCTGCACCCACACGGGAGACCCGGATGAAGCTCCTGGCTCCTAGCTTCGGCATGACCCAGCCTTGCCCTTTGCAGCCATTTGGGAAGTAAACCAGCAAGATCCACTCTTGCTCGCTCGCTCTCTCTCCCTCTCTTTAACTCTGCCTTTCCAATAAATAAATCAATCTTTTTTAGAAATTAGACATAATATTGTTCTACTATAACAACCAGGACAAGAACAATAATTATTATTTAAGTGAGGGCAAGAGGAGAATGGAAGGAAGTTAGTTTTTTTTAGAGGATTTATTTATTTATTTGAAACAGTAACAGAGAAAGGGAGAGAAAAGGAGGGAGGTAGGGAGAGGTGGTAGGAAAGAGAGGGAGAGAGGGAGAGAAGGAGAGAGGGAGAGGGAGAGAGAGAGAGAGAGAGAGCGAGAGAGAGAGAGCTCCTCTACCTACTGGTTCACTCCCCATAAGGCTGCAATAACCAAGGTAGGCCAGGTCAAAGCCAGGAGCCAGGAGCTTCATCTGGGTCTCCCACATGGGCAGCAGAGGCCCAAACACTTGGGCCATCTTCTGCTGCTTTTCCCAGGCCATTAGTAGGGAGCTGGACAGAAAGAGGAGCAGCCAGGATTTGAACCGGTGCTCATGTAGGATACCAGTGTCCAGATGGCAGCTTTAACAGCTAAGCCACAACGCCGGCTTCTGTTCTTTTATTTTAACATTAAGTTTTAGCAATGCCTCCCAAATAATGTTATTGTGCTGACAAAACATCTCTTTTCCAAAATGACTAACACACACATCCTTTTGTATTTCATTTCAGACACTTGTACTATTTACCCATACATCTTATGCTCTCTGAATTCTCTATTTTAGTGTTGTCTTGCTTATTTAATATACTTGGTAAATCACTTAGCACACGTGTTTATTTAATATACCTTGCAAACCACTTAACACATGTAATTAGTGCACTGATAAAATCTACCTTGAGATTTTTGGGTGGCTTGAAATTGAAGAACGTAGTCAGTTTATTTTGAGAAGCATTAAGTTCTAGAAGATAAGGCATACAACTCACACAAGACAAATCTGGAAGGAAAAATACATACAGCACAGGTGAGCCAGTAAAATATCTATACAAAGTCATGAAAAACAGCTTATGAACACTGATTACTTTTTAATTACGCCAGCTGCAAGTACATATTAATTGTTCCAGACGAGTGAAATGAATAAAATCAGGACGGTGTAAAATATACAAAAAAAGAAAAAAAGAATGGAGAATTTTTTTTTTTTAAAAAAAGATTGATTTATTGGAAAAGCAGAGTTACAGAGAGGCGGAGGCAGAGAGACAGAGAGGGAGAGAGAGAAAGAGAGAGAGAGGTCTTCTATCCGCTGGCTCACTCCTCAGATGGCTACAATAGACGGAGCTGCACCGATCCAAAGCCAGGAGTCAGGAGCTTCTTCCGGGTCTCCCATGCGGGTGCAGGGGCTCAAGGACTTGGGCCATCTTCCACTGCTTTCCCAGGCCATAGCAGAGAGCTGGATCCAAGTGGAGCTGCCGGGACTCAAACCAGCGCCCATATGGGATGCCAGCACTGTGAGCGGCGGCTTTACCCGCTATGTCACAGCGCCAGCCCCAGGAATGGAGAATTCTCTATGATCCAACAATTTAATCTTCCCTAAGCGCTGCCTGCCTCTTCCGTTCTCCTGTTTCCAGAACAGCCACGTAACCAACGGCTGAGGCCTCGTGCCTGTCCCCGCTCACTCTCCCGCAATCTGCTAATGCTCACACACTTCAAAAATTGCCAGCCTTCGTGGAAAGGATGAGAAACTAAAGCCCTACATAATCCTCTTGATAATTAGCCCCTAAATAACTGAATTAGGTCTTTTCAGAAAGACTAGAAATGCCACAATTAAGGAACTCTTTTTGTTGTAAATTCAATTTTGTTTCAGTTGGACTTAATCCTAAATCTCACTAATTATTTGAAGTGATTTAAATCATTGCTATTATTTTACTTTAACTCTGGATTGCTTCAAACATACATCTGAATTTTGGTGGTTTTTTTTTTTTTCACTTTATCGCAAGCAAAAATTCCGAGCACTGAATACTAAGTAAAGGATTACTGTGCTAATAAAGGCTACTAATGCAATAAAATATAAAACATAAAAGTTGTGAGGTTTTTCCTGTTCTCTGACACTCGACAGCGGATTCTCTCCTCGTTCTTCAACATAGAACAAGGTATCACAAGCCCTCAGAGACGCAGTAGCCTCCACACCTGGGCCCTGCGCTGAAGGTGGGACAGGCCGTGGGAGGCGGACCCTGGCATCTTTGTCTCTCAAGGGTCACTGAAGCCAGAAAATCCCCCAGCCATTTCTACTCCATTTCTCTACATCGCTCTTGTCTTTAGTGAACACAAATGTAAATAATTCCAGGAGAGACAGTATCCTGGGACACGAACATTTTGATGTTTGCACTTAATGAGCAAATCAAGGAAGGTTACCTGGGAGAGCAAACCTAAGAGAAATCTGCCATTGCTTTACAATGCGTATCTACATGTCCATTCTGAGCTCAGACACGTAGCTGTCAGGAGTGCTGTCAACTCTGAACTTGGCAGTGGGCCCTCCTGGAGGCGATCTTTCTATGGGAAGGTAAATACTGATACCACAGGGGTCTGTTTCGTACTTAAATAAAGACAGAGAGGTGGCAAGTACGTTTCACACTTTGTAGATAGCTGATGTTTTCAAACAAATCTGACAAGAAGAATCCAGTTTGGTTTGCGGACTTGTAACCGAGCCGGCCTGTTGAGGCCCTGCTCAGTGCAGTGACCTCCTCGTCCACCAGATGGCAGAAGCACCTCGTGCCTGCATCGGTGGTTCCCAAAGTGTGGTCCAGGAACAGCGGCACCTGTCTCAACGCGGGAACTTACCGAAGATGCAAATTCTAGGGTCCCTCCTCAAATTTACTGAATCAGAAACTCAGCAGGTGGAGTTCTGCAATCTGTGTTGTCACATGTCGCCTCATGCGATCGTGACGCGAGTTAAAATCTGGCCCCCATCAGAAGTTAAGGCCATCATCACTACTACACATTGCACCTGACACAGAGTGCTGAATTAATGAAATGGGCCACCAAGATGAGGGAGGACTGATCTGGCTCAAGAGGAAAGCTTCCACGGCAACTGCCGACTCCTTGCTCAAGTGGCAATGGCGTGAAGCCCATTGTTAAGAATCTCACCCATCTGCACTTTTCTTATCCAGTTAAATGAAACCAACCTTGGAGGTGTGGGGTAGGCAGAGTGCTCCTACCATTCACCCTAAAAAGTGTCTTTCTCCTGATTGGATATCTGAGATTTGCTTTAGGAGGGAAGAAGGGGAGATATAGGTGAAACAAGATTGGCCATGGGCTAATAACTGTCGAACGTCAATATTCATCATGATTTTCTATCTGTGCACAGGTCTGTAATTTCCCATAGTAAATGTTTATAAAACTAGAAAACAATCAAAGTCCTTCAAAACCAGTAGCACTTTAAGAATTCAAATAAGCTATAATATTTCTTAGCCACTGAGAAGAGTGGGCTTTAATTATTATAATCATATGAAGGAGGGGGGAATTAGAAAATGAACCAGACGGCCGGTGCCGCAGCTCACTAGGCTAATCTTCCGCCTGTGGCGCTGGCACTCCAGGTTCTAGTCCCGGTTGGGGCACCGGATTCTGTCCTGGTTGCTCCTCTTCCAGTCAGCTCTCTGCCGTGGCCCGGGAGTGCAGTGGAGGATGGCCCAGGTCCTTGGGCCCTGCACCCGCATGGGAGACCAGGAGAAGCACCTGGCTCCTGGCTTCAGATCAACACAGCACCGGCCGTGGCGGCCATTTGGGGAGTGAACCAACAGAAGGAAGACCTTTCTCTCTGTCTCTCTCTCTCTCACTTTCTAACTCTGCCTGTCAAAGAAAATAAAGAAAATGAACCAGACAAGACCATACCAGCAACATTTAATTTTCATTTAATAAGGCAGGAAAAAACAGTTCAATTCCTGGCTGCTCCACTTCTGATCCAGCTCCCTGCTGTTGCGCCTGGGAAGGCAACAGAAGATGGCTCAAGTCCTTGGGACCTACACCCACCTGGGAGACCTAGAAGAAGCTCTGGGCTCTTGGCTTCAGCCTGGCCCAGCACTGGCTGTTGCAAACATTTGGGGAGTGAACAGTGGATGGAAGACTTCTCTGTCTCTCCCTCTCTCTAACTCTGCCTTTCAAATAAAAATAAATAAATCTAAAAAAAAAAGGCAGCAAAAGCAGCAAGTAGAAAGATTATCAGTGGAGAGAACAGGTCAGAAATAATGATTTGTTTACTTTCCTAGAAGGCTAAAGGAAAAATTGTTAACTTCAAATAAGATCATAATATTAGAAACAAAGATTAAGCTTTGAAGAAAGTTTGACCACTGCAGGATTCATTCCACGAAAAGTGAATAAGGTGTCACACAGACATGTTACAGAGAACTACAAAGTGCAGAGCTACAGTTGCAAGAATCAGTTAAGCACACAAAGCCAGCAGAAAGAGGGGGACAAATAAATTTGAAAATCCCTGGTTCTCAAATGATAATAGAAAAAGAGCTCGGCAGGATTAAAATGTAAACGCAAATGCAAAATAAAAGAATACATCATTAAAGGGGAAAAAGAGACGAATTCATTGCACTGAATAGCTAATAAAAGGGAAGAAGAGGGAATTATCAAACCTTCAGGAAGCATTAAGGAATCTTTTCAAAGGAAGCATGCAGCAATCATTCCGTCTCCTACTCTAGAGATCAGGGAACGTATCTCAACCACATTGAATCACAGCCCTGCACCTTTTTCTTTACTCATTAGTGACAGGTGCCTTCCTTTGCATGGAAAGCAAAGGCTTCATTGGTAAACTGATCCAAAAGCCACTTGTATCATGTCTGGTAGTATCAGACTATTTTACATACCAAACACTGACATTCTGAAATAGTCCCATGCTCCTTCTACCTGAATGACAATTACATACCTTCAATTTTATTTATAGAAAGATCCAGTTTCTGTAGGTGAACGTATCCACAGAGAATGCTAACGTCAATTAAATCACAACCCTGAGAAAATAAAAGGTAAAAGGTTTTGTTATTTCCAGATTACTATTCAGCCCTCTTGCAACATCTGGAAACAGAATGTCTTTCCAAAATACAGACGTGAAAGAACAAAATCTAAAGCTACTACTAACAGGATCTCAAAACCGACTATGGACCCCTTCAAAAAAAGGTTCCTCTAAAGAAAATAACAGCATAGGAAATCAGTGCTGTTAGCAAGAATAAATACAACATGAAAAAGCACATTAAAGCAGTGTTCATGAAGACCTTTACAGCAGAGCTTTATATTAAAATAAAAAAATACAGCAATAAGGACAAAGGCTATATCAACTAGAAGAAAAGAAAGGGCAAATGCCTGGAATTTAAATAGAGGTTTAATCAAGAGACCATTAACAATACCACCTACACTTTCACAGGGTTCATTTTCAAGGCCGGTTCACACCTGATCAAATACCTCTGTGTGCTCTGGAGGGCAGGGGATTCCCAACTTAAAGATACTGACAGAGGTTTGTAAACAGCCTGAAGTCACAGGCAAGTTAGTGACAGAGAAGCAGCAGTGAAGTCTTCTAAACCTGGGTCCAAATTTTTTCCCATGAAACCTTGTTTCCCGTGAATTTCAAGTGAGGCTGGAGGGCATTTGATCCGATGGAACAAAAACTTATATTACTGGTTTATGTTGTGATGTCAGAGTCAGAAAAAAAAAAAAAAAACAAACCTAACCCAAAGAAGAGTCATTACAACCAAGTTCCGATAGTGCATAATGACTGGTTAGCAGAGGCCACTAGAACAGAAATAAATAAATGCTTACTGAATACCTACTACGTGCAAGGTGTTGTGGCTGGCATGAGCTATACAAAGATGGAAGAGAGCTCTATTCTGCTCTTAAGAAATTTATGACTTTGGTAGGAGAAAAGATATACACACAAGCAATAACAGAGAATAAATAATAAAATAATGTGTGACATTAAGTAAGCTGCAAGGGGAAAAACAAAATCACCAAACCAGGCAATCCTGAGAAAGTGTACTCAGTAAGACAAGTTATCAAGGCAGAGTAATTCAACATGTAATATCTCAAATGTAAGGAGATCAGTGGTAAAATAAGTTAAGCTTCAGTCCATCTAGCTGAAATAAGATTTAAAGGATTGCTTTTTTTTGGTAGATCAATTTAAGGCACAGCACTACATACCTAAGTAGAATACCGACTGAAGGGGACTTGTGTGGGGATGTGTTGGCTGCTGGAATTATCTACCATTCCACCATCTGACACAGGGCAACACACCCAGTGTGCTCCCTCTAGGTTGCTGCCTGACTGGCTAAGTCATCCAGAAAACGCTACAAAGTGAAAACAGTGCAAGATGACAGCCTTAATATGCTTACCTCAAAGGGCATTCCATGAAACCAGCATAGGTGAAAACAGCCTAAGGTTTCTGGAACAGTTTACGAGGTCACACCCAGGGCAGACACTCTTGCCACGACATAAAAACTTACCCAAATTCATGGTGCTTGGGTAGAATTTCAATACACATTCTGTCACCTGTGTGTCTACACTGAATCAGTGGATCGCCGAGGAAATGCAATGCTTTATAAGGTAAGAATGCAAACAGCGCTAAATTATTTCTCTAAGGCTATAGCGAAACGAGGGAGGAAAGAGGCTGGTGTACTCGGAGTGGTCTGCTCTGACAGGCTCTCTCGTCAAACTGTAGCCAAGATTTTGTGTCACTCTATCACTAGACGGAAATCTTAAAAAATGGATGGAAATAGAAAAATAGGTTATTTTTCTTTGATGACAGGTCCCTTTAGGCAAGTGAGACACAGCTCAGTTACTCATCTGTAGACATGCTGGGTGGGGGGCTGTCAATATGGGGCCACTTTGCTCCCTTGGATTCAAATATAAATTTTCGTATTTCTTTCACTGATCAGAAGAGACAATTCTTAAAAGAGTTTTTGATTCGTTTTTACAGAATCAAATTCAATGTTGTGGAAATAAAGCATTGATTACTATAACACAGACTATTTAAGATGAAAGAAATAGTGTGAACAAAATGAAAACAAAGAATTAGGTGTCGATCCCTGGACTGACCAACACTCTTTATACTTCTCAAATTCCAGGGGAAATTCATTCTAACATTTAATTATGGTAATCATAATTATGGATTGAATAGAGACACTGTAGAAGGTATCGCAAGAGATGGTTTAGCAAGCTGTATTCATTTGGAAATAGAAGTAAGTATTTTTTATTCAATCAATTTATTTTTGAATGTGTGTATATAAATATGTACATCTATTTGAGGTTGGGGCTCCAGTGTGCAACAGCATAGTACTAGGCACAAGAGAAACATGGACATGGGGGTGGCAGGCTATGAAAAATTAAGTGACAGAGTTAGACTACAATGCAAGAATACACACATATGCCGTGAGTGAAGCTACCACTCAAGATGTATTTTCTAAGTTATTTCCTCACTAAATTATATGAAGTGATGTTTAATATTTACATAAAGGTCTCTTATCACCGATCCCAATCAAATGCAAGGCTCCGATATTTGCTGCTGTGAGCAGCAAGGAACATGGATACGGTCTAGGCAGTGCCAGGGGCCAGCTCGGCATACTCACTGATAAAGTTAGATTCAGGTAGACTTGCTCAGTCCCAGCCCCTGAGCGCCCCAGCTGGTGGAGGGCATCAGCCACAGCTTCCTCGCGCAGGACCCCATCAAACTCCGCCTGCACAGAAACCAGAGCAGACAGAGACAAGACTCCCATCAGGGAAGAGACAACCCACCTCATCGCACCCCAGAGCAGAGCCGATGGAGCCCACAATTCACCATCCCAAAGAAAATTCTGTTTTGAGGGCACATACATACCTAGGTACAATTAAATAGATATCAGTTAAACTGGTGCTTTTATTTCCACCAATTCTTAGAAGAATCACATCAGTGGTGACAGTTGCCACAGATAGAGTGCTCCATTCCACTCACCGGGCTGAGAGCTTTCAATGGATGAACTCATTAATCCTTCTGATAACCTCAAGGTAGGTATTTTTTTTTTTAAAGATTTATTTTATTTGAAAGACAGAGTTACAGAGAGAGGTAGAGACAGAGAGAGAGAGAGAGAGACAGGTTTTCCATCTCTGGTTCACTCCCCAGTTGGCTGCAGTGGCTGGAGCTGAGCCGACCCAAAGCTGGGAGCCAAGAGCTTCTTCCAGGTCTCCCACGTGGGTGCAGGGGTCTGAGGACTCGGGCCATCCTCTTGCTGCTCTCTCAGGTGCATTAATAGGGAGCTGGATTGGACATGGAGCAATGGGACTTGAACCAGTGCCCATGTGGGATGCCAGCGATGCAGGGCGGGGCTTTAACCCACTGCACCGGCCTCTGTATTCTTTCTTTTTAACATTTATTTATTTTCATCTACTTGAACAGAGAGAGAGCGAGACAGAGATTGAGAGACTGATCTTCCATCCACTGGTTTACTCTCCAAAAGCCTGCAACAGGCAGGCCTGGGCCAGACAGAAGCCAGGAGCCAGGGGTTCTAGGACAGAGGCCCAGGCACTTGAGTGCCTGCTGCATTCCAGAAGGCATTAGCAGAAGGCGGGGTGGGAAGTGAAGCAGCAAACCATCGCTGGGATATGAGAGGCAGGCATCCCAAGCGGCAGCTTAATCCACTGTGCCACAACACACATTCCTAAGACAGGTATTCTTGTCTCCATTTTACAGATGAAGAAAGAACGGTTTAAAAGCTACCTCGCACAAAACCACACAGATATTGTGTGATAGAACAAAAAGCCGAATTTATCTGACACCACGGCAATTCTCCTAACTACCACATGTAATATTGTGGGAGCTGGAGTCTTCTGTCCTCTGGCTGCTTGCTTGCCTGCTGTGCTCCCCTGGAGTTTATGACCTCCTGCCCCCCACCAGCTCCCCTGGGATTTATGGCCCGATGCTTCCCACCAGTGCCTCCCCGTGCCATCTCCTTTGTGTGGCCTTCCCGCCACGTAACGTATATAGTCTTTATGTTTAAATGAACCAATGAACATGTTAGGTCCCAATACCTTGCCATATAGAGAATAAGAAGGTAACCTACGTAGGAGATGACCTGCACCCTTGTAAGTGTGAGGCTATAAAAACCTCTCTTATGCAAACGAGGGCCTTTTGCCTGTGCACTGCTAAAGGGCTGTGTGCTGGTAGGGGGTCCCAGTCTGCTGGTAGCAAATAAACCTCTGCTTTTGCATCCACGACTATGCCTTGTGCATTGATTGGGAAATTCGGACACAACAATATCAAATATGAATGAAGGTATTACTTGCCTAAATGTTCATGTCATTCAGTTCAGCGCGTTTCCAGTTGGTTACATTTTTGAATTCATACAATTTGCAAGATGTAGTAAGAGGGTGATAGCCATTTCCATATGGAGGCTGGCCCTTAGTCTGTAGACAACCCATGGACCAATGGTGGCCCAAAGCATATGTTCCTCAATAATGACAGACAGACGAGGTGCATCGGTGCTACCTTCAACTCCGTACTGATCAACACATTGACACTGACATCAGGAGGTCATCGGATACAGTAATCACCTGAGACACACTGATAAAACTAACCAGGACTAGCATAGCACACAATTGCAATAGCAAAATACCCGCTTTCCGGGTCATGCACCTTCATTCGGGAACCAACCGTGCTGCTTGCTCAAGCTGCCGGGTCTGAGGACAAGGGACGTGGGCTTGTGCTACTGTAGAGTGCTCCTTTCCCCACGGATTTCTACTAACCCAGAGAAGCAAATATTCCCACTCAGAGACAGCACAGGGGCTTAGGAAATGGACAAACATTTTCGATTTGTGACTTTGGGCAAACAGTTTTCTGAGTCTAATGCTCTCAATCTACCATAAAGGAACACTGACACCTTTATAAGGAGTTTAGGACATGCCACACCAAAATATGCCATTTTGGTAAACTGGCTGTTTTGAGCTGAAGACACTGGGGAAACAGCACATGCAGGGACAGGCTCTCTGCACGCCCATCAGCTGCCTGAAGCCTGCGCCTCCAGGAGGCACTCGGGTGTCCCGCAAATCCCTCCCTGGGAGTTAACCAGAGAAGACTGACTCATCCCCGGAGAGGAGGCCGGACTCAGGCAACTCTGTAACAAACTGTCATATCGACTCCACTATTCACTCCTATCATAACCTTTTTTTAATGTTTATTTATCTTCATCTGCTTGAAGCACAGAGAGAGAGAGAGAGAGGGAGAGAGAATCTTCCACCTGCTGGCTTACTCCCCAGGTGCCTGCAGCAGCCAGGGCTGGGCCAGGCAGAAGCGTTCACCACCCTGCCCCACGTGACCTATATCACCTCCTCTTCTGTTAATATGCTGGACAACCTCTCAAATCTCACTTCTGGAGGAGGATACTCATTTTTATTTTTTTTCCTGTGATGCCCTCAATACTTAAATTTAATATGTAAAAGTAACAAATGTATATACTAGTTCCTATTCATCTGCCTGTCGTCAGTCTATTTCACAGCCCCAGGAGAGTGGAGGGTAAGTCTTTCCTCCCTCGGAGCTCTTTTAATGTTTGGGGGACAATGAAAAATAATACACATAAAACTCTTCACACAGAATATGGAACAACAGAAACATTCCCAATAAATGACAGTTACTATGAGTTGATAAAATTAGCAACTCCACGACTTAATGTTTCCCTCATGTATATCAACCAACCTGTTCACAAAATGGGCAAAAGATACTTTTCTAAATAAAGTTCCAATGTCGTAAGTAAAGCTCCAGGAGGAATAGAGGGGTCGGGCCGGCACTGTGGTGCTGGTACAGCCGCCTCCCGTAGTGCAGGCATCTCATATGGGAGTCCCGGCTGCTCCTCTTCTGACCCAGCTCTCTGTTCACGCGCCTGAGAAATCAGTGGAAGACAGCCCAAGTCCTCAGGCCCCTGAACCCGCCCAGTAGACCTGGAGGAAACTCCTGGCTCCTGGCATTGGACTGGCCTAGCTCTGGCCATCACGGCCATTTGGGTAGTGAACCAGCAGATGGAAGCGTGCGCGCTCGCTCTCCCTCTCTCTCTCTCTCTTTCTCTCCTTCTCTCTCTGCATCTCTGCTTTTCAAATAAATAAATAAATCTTAGAAAAAAAAAATAGAGAGGTCAAGTGTTGCCTTCCCTCCCAAACTTTCTACCCAGACCACTGAAGCTCAACTGACCACACCCCTCTCCATTTCCTGGGAATGAGAAAACGCTCCGTCCTTACTTAGAGCAGGAAAAGTGCCTGGTTTTCAACACAGCTGAACACAGAGATAGGCCAAACTGTCCACATCTTCCCAGATCCCCAAGACAGGACTCTGCACAGCACCGCTACTTAGAAGTTCTGCTGTTTGGCAGGATTAGGCCTTCCCCTTTGGGGCTCTGGCCATTGTCAAGCCTTCACAAACCCTGTCCACATCCGGTGTGGCTTCAGAGTCCCTGTGGATGGCCAGCCAACAGCACTTTCCAGCACACACCACCCCTGCACCCCTAATACACACACATTTCTATGCTGCTTCAGATCCAGACACCTTAAACTTGATCTTCGCCCAACTGCAGTCACTGTGCGACGTCTCAGTTCTTTTGGCCTCTTCTCAACAAATCCTTTCTTGGCTATTTCTGAGGCAAAGCAGAAACTCTCCTATATCCACCGTCCTAACGCCTCTCACTCGGTCTCCAGGATGCTCTTCCCCTCTCCTCCAGCCCGGCTCCCTCTCCTCGCTCAGGGAGCTTGTTCAGAGACCATCGATTTGCCCCGAGTCTATGTTTTCCACCAGTCCCCGTCCACTGGCTGCTCCTCCAGCTATACAGCGGCGTGAGTCCCTTCTGTCCGAAGGAGACTCTTCAGCTTCCCCTGTTCCGTTACTTAGAGCTGGCTTCCCTTAATAATCACGCTTCTCCAGGGCTGCTTACCTCTTGTAGTCCCCCACCTCACTCTTCAACTCACTCTAGTTAGGCTTCTCAAAAAGCATATGGGCCAAGGCCTCCAGGGGCCCTCAAACAGGCCGTGAGCTAATGAGCAATTTCTAGGCCTCTTCCCACAGAACCCACTGGCAGCGTAACCCATCCCCCTGTTCTTGAGATTCCTCTGGACTTGTCTTCCCTGCCACACAGCTCTTATTTCTCCTCCAGCTTCTCTTACCAGTCCATCCTGATTCTTCTCCATCTGCCTGTCAAATACCCGTGCCTTTCCGGTTTTATTCTGGGCCCTTCCTTCCCCTCCTTGGTGATCTCATGGACTTCCCTGCTAATGATACCCAGGTCCCCTATTCTGAGACCCCTCCCCTGATTTCCAAATAGATCATATACCCAACTCCTTAATGCACAGCTCCATCTGTCCCTGATTACTATCAGAGACAATGGCCTCAATATTCCCCAGAACACACCATAGGTCTAACAGTCACCTTAGATTCCTAATACGAATGAGTAACTATCTCAAATGTTTTCATCTCTAGCTTGCCCTTCATTCCCGCTGTCACTACTGTAATCCAGACTCTTCTTGTCCCCTAGACAGTGCTAGAATCTTCTCACTGATCTCCAATCTAATCACCATCCAATCTAATCACACCTGGTCAGCAGACCAGTTTCCCACTGCTTAGAGACTCAAGTCCAGGTCCACACAACCAGCTCAGAGCTCTCCATCATCTGGCCCCTACTGCAGCTGCTTCCTCCGCACTCACCCATCACTCCTCAGTAGGAAAAGCTGCCATATGCCTGCCCACACAGCACCTCTCCACCCAGATGAAAGTCAACTTCCTTTAAGTCTTCCATGACTCCTGCAACCGAGGGTCACCTGTACACTTCTCTGTAGAGACCACGACAGACGCTAAATTGCTATTACACTCTTATCTCATGCTGAGAGCAAGGACCATTATGTCCTCAATCAGGTTCTCATCTCCCATCATTACTGTTGCTATTATTCTACCTGTAACTTTTGAGGGCCTATACAGATACCAGACAGTATATTAAGAACTTTTAATAGAGTTTCTCATAAATTTGATGCTCTTAACTATCCCATGAGTGGGTGTTATTAGCCACATTGAGTTACTGCCTAAGAGTGGTTTTTATGTGTCAGTTTTTGGGTGTAGACACTTCTGTATACAGAGTGTCTCCTAAACAGCAACCATTATGCCATGAAAGCTATATTAATTAATTAATTCACTATACGGGCTGCAATGAACATGAAAACATGTAAGTTACTATTGGTATCAGTAACAGTAGCAAGCATTTTATGTAGAGGATCTCATTTAATTGACTATTCTCCAAGAGAGCTATAATTTCCACATTATGGATGATACATGGAGAGGTAAAGTAACTTGTTTAAGATCACACGGCCAAGAAAAGGCTAAACTGCACCTCAAACACCATCTTTGATTCCAAAGGCAGCGTTTTGAATATCGCGTCTGCATAGCCTCCCTTAATTCCATGGAGGCCCTCGAAGTCTCCAGCTAACTGCACTCTAATCGCTGTACTCATCAGAATACTACTACCCTGAACCAGGCTAAGACAGAGAAAATACGTCCCTGAACATCAACGGCCAAATGTCTCCTTTCACAACTCTTTCACTTATTCAGCGTATTAAAATTTACGCAAGCCAGAACAGAATGAGGGAACCCAAAATGAATATTGAGGTTCTGAATGTAAATGGAGAAAGAAATGAACTTTTTACACAAGCCAAAGAGGAATAACGAGTTGAAGTCAAGCCCTTCTATGGTTTGCTAATGGCATCCTGAAGACAGACTACTACAGTACTAATGAACCCCAGAGCCCAAGAGCATATGCTAATTAGAATAATAAAGCATACAGGTCGTTCATTTGTGAATTCCTCTGAGGTGGTAGCTGGTAGAAACCATGCAAACATGTCAAAGTTGCAAAAACATTGCCACAGTTGTGCAATTACTCACTGATAGTGGTAGAAAAGATCAACAAACGGTGAGCAAAATAACAACTTTCTACGGCCAACTTTCAGCAGAACTCATGTCCACATAGAAAGAAGTAGGAGAGGAAAGATACAAATGAGGGTTTAAGACGTGGGAAGAAACGGGCCAACTCTTGACAGTGAACGGAAGAACTGTAGGAAAACACAGAGGAGTATAAACCTTTAGGAGTTGAACCCAAGTTAACAAGAGAACATTGCAAGTTAGAGAGGGGGAATAGGAAGGAAAAAGACAAATAGGAAGTTTAAGGCGACAGGTGTAACAGAAAGAAACCTGTTTGGCCTCAAGGAGAGAAAGGGAACTAGGAAAGACTATCATCGGGTGAGGGTATTAGCACACTATCTGTTTCTCCATCTTCTGAAAACAGCTCAAAGGGACTTAGGCTAAACCCAGAGAACGTGGAGGGGAAGAAGACCTAATACAAAGAAAACTATTGAAGTTAAGAAAAAGATCGGTTCTGAGCTTCCCGGCAGCCAAGGCAATGAAGAAAATCTGACAACATGCTAAAAGGGAGCAAAGCGAGGTCTGGGTTTCCAGGAAAAACAAGTTGTCAGAAGCCAGAGGAGTAGTATGATGAGCCCGGAAAGCGACAGCAGAGAGTCGATGCGCTAAGAAAAGGACAGAGAGATCACAAGAGCTGGAGACTGGGTGGTGGGTAGAAGAGGGGCGGTACTGACCCTAGAGGCCACCATCCCTGGACACACAGGTGCAAACGGTGGGCGCATTCTGCACAGGCTACAACAGTCCGCAGTGGGAAGAGGCCAAGGCTGGCGGGAACGGGGCGCTTCGGGGAGCGGGGTCTGCGCTAGCCTTGATCAGATTACTTGCAGGGAGCAAAGCTCCCTCTGAGAAGGAGGAAGGCGGACGACCGGCCTGGCGTCGGGGGAGAGCGCCCAGCGCCCCCGAGTCACGGGGACAGGGCCCTAGGGTGCCCAGCGCGAGTTCTGCTCTCAACCCTGCCACAGCACAACGCAGAAGAAGTTAAAGCCTGGGCTCCCGCGCCAGTGTTTCGCCACTGTGGGACTTCACGGACATCAGGGGTGTCGGTGACAAACACGGGCAGGGTGAGGGGACCCGGGTGAGGGGAGAGCGGTGCTTGGGGGCGGCGCCCCGGGGACGCCGGCGGGAGCGGGCTGGAGGGAGGTGGGAGCCCCGGGGGGCGCGGGGCGCGGGGGGCACACCTCCAGATGCTGCATTTCGGACTCTGAGGACTCCTCGGACTCGCCCTCGCCCTCGCCCTGCTCCTCGTCTCCGTCTGCGTCCGACTCCTGAGAGCGGCGAATGAGCTGCTGCAGCAGGTAGGAGGACGCTCTCGTGAAAGTCCCTTTCGGCTTCTGCCCCATGGGGAAAGACCAGCAAGAGCGACGCTTTTCTGGGCGCCACAGGGCAGATTGGGCTCTGGCTCGGGAACTGCCCAAGCCTCTCCAGAGAAGGGGCGCTCCGGGCCTCTGGGGGGCCGCCATCTTGTTAGGCGGTCGCTAGGAGACGGCGCCCCGGAGGCCGCCGCAAGGGATTGTGGGGGCTCGGTCTGCGCGCTCCCAGCCCCCCGCAGGCAGGACTGGTGTGGTCCCTGCAAACCTGCGGGAGACCAGGGTGTGCTCCCGCGGGCTGGGAGGGCTGCTCCCGTGTTTGCCATTGAAGGCGGCTGATAGCGAGAAATTACACGAAGACCTGGGAGAGCTGATTTGCCACTTATTTGCATTTTTTTTTTCCTCCACCGAAATGATAAGGACTGTCCATAGGGACAAAAACTAGCAGTGGCCTTAGCAGTCCAAGCCTGGAGAGGCAAAAATAACCGCGGTCAAGCCAGTGCGGTGTCTGAAAGCCTTTGAAACGCTGTTAGCATCCCATGCGTAATTGCGTTAGTCAAGTGACCTGCATTGGAAATTATTGTCATCTTGTTGCTTAGGTTCCTTTTCCAGTTTTCTGAAATACTTCTGCAAGATGACAAAGCATGATTTTTATGCTGCTGTGATTTTACGTGACCCAAATCCCGTAGCCTTAAGCCCCACAACGTAGACACTCTATAGAAAAAAACAGAATGAAAATCACAGTGACAATTATTGCCATAGTGATGACAACAGAGAGCCTGCCAGAGAAGCCGCCCTGGTCCCCCTGGCCTTGCAGGGCCTTTGCTCCACACTTCAGTGACAGCGGTGGCGAATACAAAATGATCCTATCAGTGCTGTCAGGGGAGAGGAGAAAAAACTCCTTATGGACACCATCCATCCACTATTATCTTTCTTAGTGCTTGAGGGACCGTTAACACTGACATAAAGCTTCTAGAATTTCCTTCATTATCTTGCTGGTCGTAAATGTAAAGGCCACAGTGAAAGTGTCTGTGTCGGCCAGGCTCCTCCTGCTCCCTGCTTATTTATTTTCCTGCTAGTTCCTCCCAGGGATTTCCACCCATCCTCACCCCACAGGGCCTGGCTTCAGCTCACTGACATTGGGCAAGTCGGGGGCAGAAAGCCTACAAATGCCAGTTTCTCAATGACTGAATCGCATTTCTTTCCTCCTCCTCCTCCTCCTCCTTTTCTTCTCTTTTTAAAGATTCATTCCATTCATTTGAAAGAATTAAAGAGAGAGGTATGTGTGTGGAGGGTGGGGTGGTCTTCTATACGCTGGTTCATCCCCCAAATGGCTGCAATGGCTGGAGCTGAGCTGATCTGAAGCCAGGAGCCAGGAGCTTCTTCCTGGTCTCCTACACAGGTGCAGGGACCCAAGGACTTGGGCCATCCTCCGTTGCTTTCCCAGACACATTCGTAGGGAGATGGATTGGAAGTGGAGCAGCTGGAGCTTGAATTGGTGCCCACACGGGATCCACTGGGGCTTTAACCCTCTGTGCCACAGCACCAGCCACTGAATCAGCGTTTCAAGCAAAGAGAGATTCACCAGTGTCAATCTATTAAGAAATATGTCTGGGGGCCAGTGCTCTGATGTGATAGGCTAAGGCTCCACCTGCAGTGCCGACATCCCATATGGGCACTGGTTCATGTCCCGGCTGCCCCTCTTTCAATCCAGCTCTCTGCTTATGGCCTGGCAAAGTGATAGAAGATGGCTCAAGTCCTTGGGCCCCTGCACACGCATGAGAGACCCGCAAGAAGCTCCTGCCTCCTGGCTTCAGATTGATTCAGCTCTGGCCATTGCGGCCATTTGGGGAGTGAACCAGCGGACGGAACATCTCTCTCTCGCTCTCCCTCTCTCTTTCTCTCACTCCCTCTCTAACTCTACCTCTCAAGATTTTTTTTTTTTAAGAAATATGTCTTAAGGAAGAGTGAGTTAGAACCTATCAAAGAACAATTTTCAAAAAGTTAAAACCATCACACACACACATACACACGTGCACACGTGAAATAGAATGAAACATCAAAGATTTTATTCAACTCATTCATTAGTGAGGAAGATGGTAGCCGGATATTGAGAATCCACAAGGAAAGGCATTCTGTAATAAGTTTGCTAGGTTAGAGTCAGAACTGGTTAATGGTGTTAGGGCCCAGAAAATGATACTCCAAAGTCTGACCCTTTGGAATGCTGATTAGGGGACAGCAGAGCCAAGCACAGGTCTCTGAGGTTGCCCTTTCTGCCTGAAGACAGATCTAGGGAAGATGTTTTCGCAGAAAAAGAGAATGAGGTTTTCTCGAGAGGCTCTGCTGTAGGCTACCGCCTATTGAGTGCCACACATGTAGATTTTTATCTGCATAGTAGCACAGCCTTTGTTCACCAGGGTATCTGCCCCTCACCCTCCCCAGAAGCCCCACGGCCCTGCTGCTCTCTGAACTCAGGATACTGCATGAGTTTCAGTCATCTGGCCCTTCCTTGTGTTGTACCTGAGTGAGTGCCAACAGAGGAGCACCGCACGTTGTCTACAAATAGGTTCTTTTACCAGGAAGAGAAGAAAAAGCTAGAGGGAGGAGAGACTGATACAGACAGGCAGATAGGATCACATCGATTAGATTTGTAAGCTGGAGGCCACGCCTTCCCCCTTCCCCCATGTGATCTTACGCCCCTACCTGACCCCACCTGTGTGCCCACCTGCCAATCAGACTGTGTAGCCACTCTTCTTTGGGAGTAAAGCAAAGGCCTGGAGCACGTTGGGCCTTCCCCTGGTTGCCCGGTGCCTTTGGGTGGGCGGCCTTTTGGCCTCCGTCCTGCCTCTGCTTTCCTGCCTGCGTGCTTGTTCCTCGCGGCTCCTGGCCTGCTCTCTGCCTGGTGTGGACCCAACTTAGCTTCTAGACTTCTTTCTCCCCTAAATAAAGCCCTCACTTTCCTGTGCATTTCTCTCACCGAATAAAACGCTTAAAAACCTACTATGTCGCCTGGTCTATTTTGAGCCGATATTCAGAATTCTTATCTAAATAGATGGCAAGAACTCACAGGATTATTAATACCTAAAATTATTAATAAGGCTGGGTGATATCAAGATTATTTTGTCTAAACTCTTCTCATTAGCACAAAACATCAAGAATTGTTTCCATTTACTCATTGCTTACTGCAAATCAGCACTGTGCTAACATACCTCATTTAATTATTCCAGCTGTTATGGGTTACCTTTATTGATTATTTTAATATTAATGTCTTGAGGGTCCTTGCCGTCTATTCATGTAAGAATTCTGAATATCGGCTTGAATAAAACAGGCAACATGGTGAGGTTTAGCATTTATTTAGAGTGTGAGAGGAAATACATAGGAAAGTGAGAGCTTTATTTAAAAAAAAAAAGATTTATTTGAAAGAGTTACACAAAGAGAGGAGAGGCAGAGAGAGAGAGAGAGGTCTCCCATCTGCTGGTCCACTCTCCAATTGACTGCAATGCCCGGAGCTATGCCGATCGAAGCCAGGAGCCAAGAGCTTCTTCTGGACTTCCCAGATGGGTGCAAGGGCCCAAGGACTTGGACCATCTTTTGCTTTTCCCCAGGCCATAGCAGGGAGCTGGATCGGAAGTGGAGCAGCGGGGACTTGAACCTGCTTCCTTATGGGATGCCGGCACTGCAGACTGCCCGCTGTGCCACAGTGCCAGCCCCAATGACTTAGTTTCTTAAGAACCTGTTGTGAGGCACAGAAAGCTGACTCTTGTCAGGCACTGAAAATGGTAATGTGGAGTGTGTGTGTGTGTGTGTGTGTGTTGGGACAGGAAGGAAGACCCCGGCTTTCTGGGGCTATAAAAGCAAAGGTGGGCCAAGGCAGTGGCATATGATCATGGATACAGTGGGTCTTCTGGGAAAGTCCTGGATCCTGATCCCCTGGGCTGCGAGGAAGGAGAAAGCACAGGAGTAGCACGGTGACTGAGCACTGACTCCCTTGAGAGGCCATCGGGGCAGGCAGCTGGGAGGGGAGACTCGCCGGATAAGGAGCTTACGCTGGGCGAGGGTGTGAACTGCCCGCCCCAGCGGCTTGGCAGCTTTCCCGTATTGCTGTATACAACTCTAACTTCTCTGTGTGCAGCTGGGGGTCTTCCCTCAATCTGGAGCCAGCACCTTGATGTCAGAACAGCTCACCTCACTGAGAATGGAGAGAAAAGGCAGGACGAACCTTCTGTTTCCTGTATTTGGAGAAAGCACCTTCCTGGGTACTCTTGGGCAAGGCAAAGACACATGTGCCCCTTCCCCTTCACATCCTGGGACCACTTCCCTCATTTGAGGAATAGCAGTGCTTCCCAGATGTGTTGAGATAGGAGCACTTTGAGCCACAGTGGATTTTTTATGAAATATTATAATTTTTTAAAACACCATAAAATGGTGGAGAGAAGGTATAGGATGAGGCACAGGTGACACAATAATAGAAATTACAACACAAACACAATGTGTGTGAGTAATTGCTCTGTGCCAGGCAGCTTTCTATGTTCTTCTCATATATTTAATATGTGTAATCGATGTTTTTAATCCCTACATGGTACAGATTAATATTATACCTACATTGTGGCTGAGGAAGCATAGGCAGAGAAAGGTCAAATAACCCGCTTTGTCAGACAATAGCAAAGCTAGGATTCAAATGGAGAGATTCTGGTCTCCCAGCCTACATCCTTAAAGAGAGCCCTCTAGTTTTACATAACAGCTTTAGTAAAACCTTGTGGGGAAGAATGTTAAGTATGAGATAATTCGCTGTATTAACTTCTTATCCTTTTATGTTTCCTTATCTCTTCCTACGAAGAGGGGATGATCCTTCATAAGGAAGGAAGCTTATTATCTATTATCTATAGACCTGGTGGGTCTATAGACATTAAGCAAACAATTATACAAATAATCATTTCATTTGAATTGTCAAGGACTAAAGAGAGGAAGAGATAGAAGCCATGAGAATATCATCTGGAGTCCTGACCCAATATAATAGAGAAGGAATCTTTCAAAATATCAAACACCTTGAGCCTCATGATGGTTGTATATAAAGAAAGCTAGGCAAAGGCAGAACAACAAATGAATACTTGATCTGTCACCTCTGAAGAAATCAACCGTATTCAGATTGTGATTGTCATAATTAATTGAGCTAACAGGACCTGATAAAAGTCCAGACAGGGCTTGACTGAGCCAAATAATAGCTGTTCTAAGAGGTGTCAAAGGCATTTTGGGGATGTCCCACTGATAGATAACTTGGATCAGTTACTGGTATTGAGATCAAAGATAAAAATTGCAATCTAGGAAGATAATCTTTGAAGCTCAAAGAATAAGTCAGAGAAGCCAAGGAAATGAGGCTTTGTGAAGGAATTGCAGGCATCAAGTTGTGAATAAAATCTGAACAGAACGCGACAGGGATTATGTAGAATGTCCAGCTCAGATTGCTTGGGCAGACAGAAAACTGGCTTTCATCGGGGAAGTTGCAAAGACTTAAGATGATTAAAATGATGACCAGAAGGGACTGTCTGAACTCCTTTGGATGAAGATGTAAGGACTTGAGCATGTTATGCTAGGACATTCATAGGATCAAAGGCGACCAGGAGGAATCCAGAAAGAAATAATCACGGGAGTGGTAAAAGGGAAAAAGAGCTTAAGAGACACAAGGTTTAATAACCAAAGCATCCCATTGGCATTGAATAATAACACAAGGAAGAGCAAATAGGAGACAGCTGCATGGAATGTGCAAGTTCATCACAGCCCATACACTTTGCTAACAGCAACGTATTTCAGCTACTTAAGAACACATGCGGGTTAGTGGTGCTTAGTGGGAAAGCAAATCACGCAGTTACACAACCTAGAAAGCCCTACTACGTGGGCATCTGTTCCAGGCACTGGGGATACAAGAAGAGTTCTAGTCTTGGTCTCATTGTTCAAGGAATTTGCATTACAGTTGAGTGGAAGACATAAAAAAATAATAAGGTAAAATCACACAGGAGGAGGTAAGTTCCACCTGATTGCTCTGGAGTTGTCCCCAGCCTTCAGGAAGAAACCAGACTGGACAAGCATACCACATCCTGTTGCTCCTGGACTCAGGTAAGGCGATGCCCGAGGCCAGACCGGGGGACTCTTCAGTTCAGGTCACATGTGTCCCAAGACCCATGTGCTCAGACGAGGTGAAAGTGGAGGGAGATCTTCAAGAAGGAGGAAGAGAGCGGGCATCCCAGCGCTGGCGAGCGGCTTAGGTAGAGGCAGGAAGTCTTGCTGGGAGGTGCTTCAGGAAGTCTCTGAGAAGTAATGGGTCTCCAAACAAAAGCTGCTCTCAGCAAGGTGGGAAGGAGTAGGAGGGTGCTGCCCTCCTGGAAGAAAAGGGACACGAGTGACAAAAATGGTGGAGCTGTCTCAAGTGTCCAGGTGTCCAAGCGGAGTCTTGGGAAGGCGATTTTAAACAAAGGAAGAAAAGATGGGCCTCTCAGAGGTCCTGACTGCGGGAGGAGGAGGCTCTTGACTCCACCCAAAACCTACTACGTGCCATGATCCGCTCCCATGAGATTAACAGGAGGCTCTGATGCACTGTACCTGCCAGGCACCTCATGCAGTTTCTATTTGGACCTTATAGCCAACCTTCTCAGTTATTTTTCTTCACTTAGGGTGCCTCTTTTTCTTGCAGAAAATGTGCTGCGCATAGTAGGTGCTTTATAAGCATGTATGAGTGCTCAAAAACTCATCTGCAGGCCGGCGCTGCGGCTCACTAGGCTAATCCTCCGCCTTGCGGCGCCGGCACACCGGGTTCTAGTCCTGGTCGGGGCGCCGGATTCTGTCCCGGCTGCCCCTCTTCCAGTCCAGCTCTCTGCTGTGGCCAGGGAGTGCAGTGGAGGATGGCCCAAGTGCTTGGGCCCTGCACCCCATGGGAGACCAGGAAAAGTACCTGGCTCCCGCTATCGGATCAGCGCGGTGCGCCGGCTGCAGCACGCCGGGTGCAGTGGCCATTGGAGGGTGAACCAACGGCAAAGGAAGACCTTTCTCTCTGGCTCTCTCTCTCAATGTCCACTCTGCCTGTCAAAAAAACAAACAAACAAACAAACAAAAAAAAAACTCATCTGCGTGGTGGATATGCTGAACACAGCTGCCACTTCATTCTGTCTGTACGAAATGACTTCTGTGTAGAGGAGTGTTCCGAATTAACAGGACACCTGTCTCGAACAGGGATTCCTGGAAGCAAGTGTTGTGGAGTAGTGGGTTAAGCTGCCCAAACCCCATGTTAGAGTGGCTGCATGGAGTCCCATCTTTGCTTCGGATCCATCTTCCTGTTAATGCACTTGGGAAGCAGTGAGTGATGGCCCTCATAGGCTTCTGCCACCCTTGTGGGATCTGAATGGAGCAGAAGGATCCTGGTTTTGGCTTGCTGTATCTTGGGCTGTTGGGGGGCATTTGGGGAGTGATCCAGCAGACGGAATATCTCTCATTCTGTCTCTCCCTTTGTCTTCCCCTCTCTCGTGGGCTTAAAGAACTGCCTCCTGTTGACAGCCATGTGAATGAAGCCTGCCTAGATCTTCTAGTATCAGCTAATTTGCCAACTGACCCGAGCTTCGTGAGGCAACACAAGAGAAATCAACTGAGATGACTCAGACCAAAAGAACTTCCCAGGCACCTCAAAGAGACACGAGCTGGATAAACGAATGTTTTAAGCCATTAAGATCTGGGAGGATCTGAAAGGCAGCAGAAGCTCCACATGTAGTATCTGGATTTCTTGCAGTCTTGCTACACTGGTTAGTAATGGATCAAGGCTAGAATCTTTATTTTCCGACCCTCACTTAAGTGACTAATTTCAGTGAGCTTTTGCTGTTGTCAGGACTGTCTACCATAACAGACAATTCTTTGCTGCCATGAATCTCCAACAATGCAGGTATGTTAATACTCAGGGCTCAGCCAGCGCCGCAGCTCACTAGGCTAATCCTCTGCCTTGCGGCGCCGGCACTCCGGGTTCTAGTCCTGGTCGGGGTGATGGATTCTGTCCTGGTTGTTCCTCTTCCAGTCCAGCTTTTTGCTGTGGCCCAGGAAGGCAGTGGAGGATGGCTCAGGTCCTTGGGCCCTGCACCTGCATGGGAGACCAGGAGAAGCACCTGGCTCCTGCCTTCGGATCAGCGCAGTACGCCTGCCGCAGCAGCCATTGGGGGGTGAACCAATGGAAAAGGAAGACCTTTCTATCTCTCTCACTGTCCCCTCTGCCTGTCAAAAACAAACAACAAACAAACAAAAAAACTCAGGGCTCTCCAAGGAAACAAGACCAATAGGATATATGTATATTGTACACATACATGCAAGAGGCCTTCAAAGTGGATGTGAGAAATGTGCGTTGCCTTTTAATTCTATTTCTCCATGAGTTTTTTGAAGCCCCCATGTATATCCATACACATAGCTCCTATAAAACACGCACACATAAACAGACTCATACGTAACTAGAAAGCTATACATGTAGATAGATATTAGGAATTGGCTCACGCAATTTATGAAGGCATGGATTTGGTGCAGCTGCAGTCCAAGTCTGAATGCCTGGGAACCAAGAGAGTGGGTGGTTGAAGTTCTCCTCCAAGGGTCGGGGAAGACCAGGGTTCCAGCTCCAGCAGTCAGGCAGGTGAAGGTGCCTAGTCCTCAGCCTTTTGATACAAACAGCTGTCACAACAGGTAACACAGAGGGACTCTCTAAGCAAAGAACTGGCAGAAAGTCCTCTGGAGTCTGTGAAAAGGAAAGAACCTCCCAAATTTGTTGCTGAGCCATCCTCCTCCACTTCATGGCCCTGGCCTGGGCAGTGCCCCTGGCCTTGATGATGCAGATCACTAAAAGCATTACAAAGTTTAGGATGCACCTAGCACTAGCGATGATAATAAGAAGAGCCACACCTGCGTGGAAAATGCAAGCAGACAAAAGGTACATTTGAAATTCTTTCCCCTTCAAACATCAAATGTTCAGAGTAGAGCAAACCCGGTAGAGAGAAATCACACACTGCGGCCACTTGGCTTTCTAGTGAGTCACAAGACGCTGGCAGCGTGCATTTCTGGAGAAGACAAATCCATAGCCATTACAAGAATGGGACAGGAACCTGACCTTTGGCCTTCACTGCCCTTAGATACCCAGGTGAGCAAATGCACGTTTGAATTATTTATCTGATTGGTAAAGAGTCTTGCAGATATAGAAAGCTCTGAGTATGCATGGGATTTTCATTATAAATAAATGGAGGCTTAGGGCATTTTTCAAAGTTCATGAATTATTGAGGTTTCTTCCAGCAGCTCTCACTTTGTCATAGTTTGATTTTTTTTGTTCCTGACCACATCAAGTTACTCAAGAGTCCTTCCTGACAGTGAACACATTCAGAAAGTGATTTATGGCTTTTAAAATGTTCCTTTGAATAAAAAATCATTTTGGAGAAATATGATTTTAACACTTTAGGCGCTGAGTTATTTTTAAAAAGATCCATTCATTCATTCATTTATTCGAAAAGCAGAGTGACAGGGAGAAAGAGACATTGGTCATCTACGGGTTCATTCCTCAAATGGCTGCATTGAATCTCCTACATGGGTGGCAGAAACCTAAGTACTTGAACCATAATACGCTGCTTTCCCAGGCATGTTAGCAATGAGCTGGAATGGGACTCCAGTAGGCGCTTTGACATGGGATGTTGGCATTGCAAGCAGTGGCTTAACTCACTGTGCTGCAACATTGGCCCCTGAGTTATTCTTAATACTAAAGCTTTTTAAAAACTCGAAAAATATGGGGCTGGCTATGTGATGTAGCAGGTAAAGCTGCCACCTGTGGAGCCAGCATCCCATAAGGGCACTGGTTCATGCCAAGCTTCTGATCCAGCTCCCTGCTAATGTGCCTGGGAAAGCAGCCAATGGCCTAAGTCCTTGGGCTCCTGCACCCACGTGGGAGACCCAGAAGAAACTCCTGGCTCCTGGCTTCAGTCTGGCCCAGCTCCAGCCATTGCAGCCACTTAGGGAGTGAACCAGTGGATGGAATATCTCTCTATCTGTTTCTCCCTCTGTCTCTCTCTAATACTGCCTTTCAAGTAAATAAATAAATCTTTAAAGAAGTAAAATTTATAACATAGAATTTACTATTTAACCACATTTAAATGTACAGTTCAGTGGTGTTACACACATTCACACTGAGGTACAACTACTGCCATCATCCATCTCCAGAACTCTTCATCTTGAAAAATAAAAACCCTATGCACATTAAACAACACTCCCCTATTCCACCCTCCGCTCATCCCCCTACTTTCTGTTTCTGTAATTCGATTGGTGAGAATTTCATATGAGTGAAATCATACTTGCATTTCCATGACTAGATTATTTCACTAGGTGCAATTTTTTTCTTTTTTTAAGATTTATTTATTTGAAAGAGTTACACACACACACACACACACACACACACACACAGAGAAGGAGAGAGAGACAGGTCTTCCATCCGCTGGTTCACTCCAATTGGCCACAATAGCTGGAGCTGTGCCAACCTGAAGCCAGGAGCCAGGAGCTTCCTCCTGATCCCCGACATGGGTTCAGGGGCCCAAGGAGTTGGTTTATCTTCCACTGCTTTCCCAGGCCATAGCAGAGAGCTGGATTGGAAGTGGAGCAGGCAGGTCTCAAACCAGCGCCCATTAAGGATGCCGACATTGCAGGCGGTGGCTTTACCCACTATGCCACAGCGCCGTGGCTTTACCCACTATGCCACAGCGCCGGCCCACTAAGTGTAATTTTCTGAAGGCTCATTCATGTTGCAGCATGTGGCAGAATTTCCTTCCTTTTTAAGGCTGAATAATATTCTCTTGTACTTATCAAGCAAATTTTGTTTGTCCGCCTGTCTGTTGGTGGACACTTGGGTTGCTTCCCTTTCTAGGCTGTCGAAAATAATGCCACTTTGAACTTGAGTGTGCAAATATTTCATTTCTTTGGGCCATATACCCAGAAGTGGAAAGCTACTTCATAAGGTAATTCTATAGTTAATTTGCCTGAGGAACTGTCATATACATTTCCATGATAGCTGCCTCATTTTCATTCTCACCAGCACTGTGTAAGGGTTCTAATTTCTCCATACCCTCACCAATGCTTATGTTCATGGTTTTGACAGCAGCCATCACAATGGGTGTGAGATTGTATCTCATTGTGGGCTTGATTGTATTTCTCTAATGATTAGTGATTCTGAGAATCTTTTCATGTACTCCCTGGCCATCTGTAATTTTCTTTACAGACATGTTTATTTGGGACTTTGGTTTATTTTTAAATTGGATCGTTTGTTTTTTTGTTGTTGTTGTTGTTGAGTTGTGGGATTTGGAACTGATCATAATGTTGAAGACATAATCCATAACACCATAATCCCAAGTGTTAAAATATCTAAATAATCTCTAAAGTCTAAAATCCTGAAAATCACAATCCCAACAGATTAAAAATCCAGAATGTTGAAGCCCTGAGAGGCCAATGATCTTTTTGTTTTGGGGTTTTCTTTGCTTGTTTGATTTTGGTTTTGGTTGATTCTTTTCCCAAGTCATCCTTGTTAAGAAAATAATTCCCTTTGCTATCTATTTCATCTACACATAGTTTCCAATATTTGAGGCATGAATTGTGTAAAGACTTTTAGAGAATTCTAATTCGTCGTGTGCATTCTTTGCAAACTTGCCTCAGTGAATAAGCTTTATCAAATGTTAACCTTGTGTGTAAGTATTGTGTACATACACAAAACATTGAAACCGACTCAGTAAACGAGGAAGTGTTCTTTTGCATTTATGAAAGATAAGATGTCTTGACATCTTGGCTCTGCATATGGGAAAATGCATACGCAGTGGTGACTGGTTGTGGTTTTGCTCCTGTCTCGTCCAGACTTAGGTTGTTCACCACAGTATTCCAGATGACCCCAGTTGTAAAGCTAGGCACACAGTTACCAATTATGGCAACACGTGCTTACACATTTCCCTTTTTGACCTATTTCTTTATGAATATATTTTGTCTGCTACTGATATCAGAATTTGGGGTGCCATACAATATCACCATATGCTTATTAATAAATCCCCAATATTAATAAGCCCGAGTGGGTTCTTGCCTAGTATTTAGAGGAAAATTCTAAATACCAGCATAAATAATCGAGGCAGCGTGGTACATCTTAAGCTTTTATTTAGTGAGGGAAATCATAGGAAAGTGAGGTTCCTATCTAAAGGAGAGAGGTAAATATGGTTCATACCGAGTACCAGGAACCAGCCACGTGGAAGAGCATCTAGGCCAGGAAGCATGGGGTGGGCGCAGGGCTACAGCCAGCCCCCTCCTGGCTAGAGGCCAGGGCGAGGGAGGGAGGCTTTCAATCCACTCTCAAATGGGAGTGGCTAATTAACCTAATTGGCCAGTGGGCACTCAGGTGTGGCCAGGTAGGGGCATGAGGTCACATGGGGGTGTGGTGAAGGTATCAGGTATGGCGTGAGGTCACACAGGGATGCAGTGAAGGTATCAGGTAGGGCGTGAGGTCACACAGGGGTGTGGCGAAGGCGAGGTCTTCCAGCTCACAAACCTAATCAATTTTAACCTGTATGCCTGTCTACTGCTACTGTTTATACCTGTGCCACCATTGTTAGTACATCTGTTTATACTTGCAAAAATGTATGTTATTATGCTATTACTGCTGTTATTGTCAAAAGTGGCCTATGAGGTGTTTCATCATGATCTTAAGTTTCTCAAATAAATTCCATTCTAAAAATGTAAATAAATATCCTTTAAAGAATGTTTTAGGGCCAGTGCTGTGGCAGAGTGGGTTAGGCTGTCGCATGCAGCACTGGCATCCCTTAGGGAACTGGTTTCAAGTCCTAGCTGCTCCACTTCCAATCCTGTTCCTTGGTAAAGTGCCTGGGAAAGCATCAGGATGGCCCAAATGCTTGGGCCAGGCATCCACTTGGGAGACCCACATGAAGCTCCTGGTTCCTGGCTTCAGCTTGGCCCAGCCCTGACTGTTGTGGACATTTGGAGAGTGAACCAGTGGATGGAACATTTTTCTCTCTGCCTCTCTCTCTCTTTCTCTAACTCTGCCTTTCATGTAAATAAATAAAATAAATCTGTAAAAAAACAAAGAATGCTTTAAATTATTTTTTCCAGAATTCTATTTTTGGGACTTTGATTTTTTTTTTTTTTTTTTTTGACAGGCAGAGTGGACAGTGAGAGAGAGAGAGAAAAGTCCTCATCCTCCAATGGCCGCCGTGGCTGGTGCACCACGCTGATCCGAAGCCAGGAGCCAAGTGCCTCTCCCGGTCTCCCATGCGGGTGCAAGGCTCAAGGACTTGGGCCATCCTCCACTGCCTTCCTGGGCCACAGCAGAGATCTGGACTGGAAGAGGAGCGACCAGGACAGAATCCGGCACCCCGATTGGGACCAGAACCCGGGGTGCTGGAGCCACAGGCGGAGGATTAGCCTATTGAGCCGCGGCGCCAGCCGGGACTTTGATCTTTTAGGATTTCAACATTTAAAATTATGATGTTTGGGATTGTGAAGCAAAGCCTAGGATATTTTTGATTTTATCCCCTTCCTAGATCTATGGTTTGCAAGTATTTTCCCCCATTCCATGGAATTTTACTCTGTTTATTGTGATCTTTGATTGATGCATACAAGATTTTTTATTCTGATGTCATCTAATTTATCTATTTTTACATTTGTTGCCTGTGCCTTTGCTATCACAGTCAGGAAATCATTGCCAAATCTAGTGTCATGGAGCTTTTCCTTTTTTTTTTTTTTCAGCCTCAATGAAATATATTTGAAAAAGAAATTATATATAGTTGACTGTAACATGATGTTTTCATGCAAGTATACATTGTGAAATGGTCATCACAGTCAAGCCAATCTACTTACTTATCACCTCAAATAGTCCCCCCCTTCTTTCAGTGTATAGTGTGAGCAGTTAAGATCTATCCTCTTAGCAAATGTCAACATGCAATATTGTTAGCTATAGCCATCATGCTATAAGTTAGGCCTCCAAAACTTACTCATGTAGCCTTTGACCGATGTCTCCCCATTTCCCCTCTTCCAAGTCCCTGGCAGCCACCATTCTGCTCTCTCCTGCTATGAGTTTGGCTTGTTTTTGGATTCTACATATAAATGAGATTACGTGCTATTTATCTTTTGATGCCTGGTTCATTTGACTTGACATAGTGTCTTCCAGTTTCATCTATCTTGTTGTAAATGGAAGTGCTTCCTTCTTTTTCAAGGCTGACAGAGAGATACAAATACAGAGATGTATGTATATATCACGTTTTCTTTATCCATTCAACTGTCAGTGGGCATTTTGGTTGCATCCAAATTTTGGCTATTATAAATGATGCTGCAGTGAACATGGGAATACAAGTATCTCTACGAAAATCTTGATTTCATTTCCTTTGGATATAAAGCCAGAGGTGGGATTACTGGGTCATATGGTAGTTTTCATCTTTTTTGAGGAAGCTGTATACTATTTCCATAATGGTTATACCAGTGTACATTTTAGTAAGCGTGTACAGGGTTCCCTTTCCTCCACATCCCCACTAACACTTTTTTTCTGCAGATGATCCATGATGTTGAATTCACCTGTTGCCATTTGTATGTCTTCTTTGGAAAATGTTTGGGTTTTGCTCAGTTTGAATTGGTTGTTTCTTTACTGTTTTTTTTTTTTTTTTTTTTTTTTTTTTTTTTTTTTTTTTTTTTTTTTTGACAGGCAAAGTTGACAGTGAGAAAAAAAAACAGGGAAAAAAAGGTCTTCCTTTGCCGTTGGTTCACCCTCCAATGGCCGCCGCTGCAGCCGGGGCACCGTGGTTATCCTGGCAGGAGCCAGGAGCCAAGTGTTTTTCCTGGTCTCCCATGGGGGGGAGGGGCCAAACACCTGGGCCATCCTCCACTGCACTCCCTGGCCATAAAAAAAAACTGGCCTGGAAGAGGGGCACCGGGACAGAATCCGGCGCCCAACCCGGACTAAAACCCGGTGTGCCGGCGCCGCAAGGTGGAGGATTAGCCTATTGAGCCACGGCGCCGGCGGTTGTTTCTTTACTGTTGAGTTGTATGCACCCCTCAGATATTTTAGATATTACTCCCTTATCAGATATATTTGCAAATATGTTCTCTATTTGCAAATATAAACTCTATTGATAGTTTCCTTTGCTGGTTAGTTTGCTGCAATCCCATTCGTCTAGTTTTGCTTTTGTTACCTCTCTTTTTATGTCATAGCTAAAAACTCACGGCCAAGACCAGTGTCAAGAATCTTTTTCCCTATGTTTCTTTTTTTTCTAGTAGCTTTGCAGTTTTGGGTCTTATATTTATATCTTTAACTCATTTTGAGTTGATTTTTATATATTTTGCCAGATCAGAGCTCAGTATCCAGTGTTCCCAACATTATTTACTGAAATGACACTAACTGTGTTGTTTTTTTTTGTTTGTTTTGTTTTTGTAATATTGTTTGGTTCCTTTGATCCTTTGCCTTCCTACTATGGCTAGGCCTTGGGTAACAACATCATTTATTGGTTTCCTTAACCCTGTACACACCTCTGTAAATAGTCCCTTTATTAAATTCTCTTCAGAATTTGGAGTAGACCTAATGTTTCCTTTTGGGCGTCTGCGTGCTGAGAATAGTGAATACAAAGACAGCCGTGTGAGAGGCTCCGATGAAACTAATTAGTCCAGAGAGAAATTCACTGTGGTGTTTAACTCAGCATCCTGTTTGGAATTGCAAGGCTGGATAAGGGAGACCCAGGACCCAGGAGTCACGTCTCTTAGTGTGTGTGTGTGTGTGTGTGTGTGTATGCATTTATCTATTTATTTGCTCTTCTTTTCATGTTTGGTGCGGGGCAGTAGGTGCTATGTCGTAACTAGTAAGAGTTCAGGCCAGCTCTGACTCTTGGATCCCTGCAAGATAATGCTGTGTCTTTGACACGCCCACCTTCCCAGGGTGCACCTGTCCTGCCAGGCACCAGTGCGCATGCTCACGCCCCGCCTGGGTTGTGTCTCCCATTGTTGGACCACCTGCTTCCCTATAAAACCCGGGGGGCATTCTGAGGTGTCTCTGTGTGCTCTGCACACCGCCCCCCGACGTGCAGGCCGTGTGTTTTTTTCGCGTCACCGACTGGATAGAACTTTCGCGCTCTCTTGGAGTTTTCAGTTTTTTTACTTTCTCTGGAGTGCAGGCACCACTTGGGCCCGCTCGTGATGAGTATTTGTGTAGAATGTTTCTCCTCTCACTGTTGAATAAATTCTGTGCCCGTGGACGCATATTGGTCTGCATTTAATGTTTTAACGTCTTGGGAGGCCAGAACCTGCATTGGAGATTAGTATAATCATTGCCCGCATCATAGGGACGTTGAAAGGAAAGGAAGGGAATTCTGAAATGAAATTAATTTATTTAAAAAGTAGCGCGAGAGAGGTCTTCCCTACTGCTAGTTCACTCCCTAAATGGCACTAACAGCTGGGGACTGGGAGCCCAGAGCTCCATGCTGGTCTCTCCCAGGGTGGCAGGGGCCCAAGCCCGCAGGCCATCTGCTTTCCCAGGTGCACTAGCAGGGAGCTGGATGGGAAGCAGAGCAGATGGGGCTCCAGCCGGTGCTTAACTCGCTGTGCAAGGCCGGCCCCTCAAGCGTTTCTCTTCTCAAGCTAAGATTCCAAGGGAAGAACTTGTGTGAAAGACCGGCCTCTCCTCTGACCGTGGAGAGTAGTGTGGGAATTTTAAAGCACCCAGAGAGGTTTCTGCAGTCCCCCCACGCCCAGTCTAGAAGTGAAGCATTGTTTGTTGCCGTACCACTGAGCTACAGAAATACGTCCACGTTTTTGGCGTGAGAAGCAGACTCAGACCTGGGTCACAGGAAACTGATTTGTCCTATCAGAAGTTGATGAGAGGTGGAACAGACAGGACTGCCCAGATGTCCCAGTTCTGTTAGGCTTGCTCTTGCAGTCCTGTCTCAAAGGGACTCTTCCTTGCCTGGTGCATTTCTCTTCCATGCATTTGCACTTACTAATCAGGCAAACCCAGACCACACTGCCTTGGTTATTCAACCACACCAAGTCCGGAAGGACTCCCTGCCCTCCAGTTGAACTCTAATGAAATCATTCTGTAAGCCACACCCAGAGTTTTGTACTTTAGCGGTGAATCCTAGGCACACATGTGGTCAGAATAGCAGCAGTTCTACACCTGGCAGCTACTGCCAGTGCTGGCTCAGTCATAAGATTCTGCTCCTGCCCTTCTCACCCCCAAGAGCAGCTGTCAGAATTGCAGGTGGGCTCGTGCCTCAGATGGAAATAATAATATGCACCACTTGGACATTTTGTAAACCCAGCCTATTTCAAGGATGATAATCATCCCGATTTTTAAGGTTCTCTGGTTAATTCTTTTTTTAAAGATTTATTTATTTATTTGAAGGCACAGTTACAGAGAGAGAGAGAGAGAGAGAGAGAGTTCTTCCATCCACTGGTTCACTCCCCAATTGGCCACAATGGCTGGAGCTGCGCCCGACTTGAAGCCAGGAGCCAGGAGCTTCTTCCAGGTCTCCCACATGAGTGCAGGGGCCCAAGGACTTGGGCCATCTTCCACTGCTTTCCCAGGCCACAGCAGAGAGCTGGATCGGAAGTGGAGCAGCTGGGACTCGAACCGGTGCCCATATGGGATGCCAGCACTGCAGGCGGTGGCTTTAGCTGCTATGCTACAGTGCCGGCCCCTGGCTAATTCTTAATCTTTTGACATCTCAAAGATTATTCTTTAGGTTAAATTTTTTCATAAAAGAGAATATGGATAGTAGTTTAAAATATACACAGATCTTTTCCCTACCCAATCAGCTCATACTTATTCAAATAATGACTTAAGGCTAAGGGAGAGGGCTTCCAAATTTGATTTATATCTCCCCATCCAACCATTTCTTACAGGCTGCCAGATCTTTTTAGATAAATCCTAAACAATATTTTATATTTTCATTATGCTTGTTTTTAAAAAATGAAAGTAAAAAGACTATGTATTTTTCATCCTGGCAATAAACTGTACAGGCAGAGAATTGGATGTCAGAATCTTTAGTAGCAGCCACATTATTTAGCTGATGAATTAATAGGAATTTTTGCAAGAGGAGGTAGGATTTAAAGTTAAAGCTGAATAACAATTAGGTTTTAATGTCATTAAAATTCTTCTTTCAGCTGCTGCTAATTTTCTTTTGACCACCAAAGACATCCTTTACTTACTTTTTTTTTTAGTTAAGAGGGGGAAGATCTATATTGTTTTACAACAGTACCCATCAACAAAGCTATCACTGTAGTAAGAGGTTGCCATTTGAATTGTCAGACAGGACTAGAGAACAGAAGGGCAGACGGGAATGAAAAGAGTATGCTGGGATAAATGTTAGAATCCTGGAGGCCTAGACTAACTCGGGTTGTAATCAGCGTTACTGTTCTCAGGGGTGTGGAGACATAGGAAAGGGGGCTGGTGCTGTGGCGCAGTGGGTTAATGCCCTGGCCTGAAGCGCCGGCATTCCATATGGGCGCTGGTTCGAGGCTCAGCTGCTCCACTTCCAATCCAGCTCTCTGCTGTGGCCTGGGAAAGCAGTGGAAGATGGCCCAAGTCCTTGGGCCCCTGTACCGGCGTGGGAGACCCGATGGAGGCTCCTGGCTCCTAGCTTTGGATCGGCGCAGCTCTGACCATTGCGGCCATTTGGGGAGTGAACCAGTGGATGAAAGACTGATCTCTCTCTCTCTCTCTCTCTCTCTCTCTCTCCCCCTCCCTTCCTCCCTCCCTCTCCGGGTGTAACTCTTTCAAATAAATAAATCTTTTAAAAAGAAGAAAATATAGGAAAGAGCAGAGGCCAACACTTGGACACTTGGCCTTGACTCAGGAGCAGAGACCTGGACCCCAAGGTGGGCACGGGCCAGACATCATCGGAAAAATTATCAGATGCTTTAGAAAGGAAGACTGGAGACAGACATCATGTAAGGACAGAGACCAGACTGCTTACTGCTGCATGACGGTGTGTCTCACTGGCTTTAAGCTGTTGAAAAACTTCTATCATTAGTTGGTATTTGGAGTCTGCTTGAGAATGATGGGGTTCTGGAAATGTCACCTCAAAATACAGGCCCATGGCGTACAGTTTGAGAGAAGCACAGAAGCACCAGGTTGGGGCCGGTGCTGTGGCATAGCCAGTAAAATCACTGCCTGCACCACGTGCATCCCTTATGAGCACCAGTTCAAGTCTCAGCTGCTCCACTTTGTTATTTTTTTAAACGAATTATTTGAAAGGCAGGGAGAGAGAGAAAGACTTCTATCTTCCATCCACTGGTTGACTCCAAATGGAAGCAACAGTCCCATCCGAAACAAGGAAACTGGAACTCCATCAGGGTCTCCCATGTGGGTGCAGGGGCCCAAGCACCTGGGCCTTTTTCCACAGCCCTCCCTGGCTCACAAGCAGGGAGCTGCATCAGAAGTGGAGCAGCCAAGACTTGAACTGCAGGCCACATGGGATGCAGGCACCACAGATAGCAGCTTAAGCCGTTATGCTACAGCACTGCCCCCCTACTAATGGCTTGGGAAAAGCAGGGGGAGATGGCCCAAGTGTTTAGGCCTCTGCCACCCCCATGGGAGACCTGCAGGAAGCTCCTGGCTTCAACCTGGCCCAGCCGCTGCCATTGTGGCCATGGAGGGA